GGGGGGGGGGGGGGCAAAATACCTGGAGTGCTCAGAGGGGCCCGGAAATCGTAGTGATTGATCGTAAAACGTACCAAATGTGAAATAAACGATTTTTCGATCGTTTTCTTAGCAAAAACAGTTAGCTGAACATCGTTCACATTGCGTTTTTATCAGTTATGCGGCGATTTCTTGCAAGTAATTCGCTGGTAATTCTCTCGTTGATTGCGATTAAAAATAGACTTTGGCGTGGCCATGCGCCAGCGGGAGAGTCGAGAGGGACAGGGGGCCCGTGTTCGCCAATTCGTCATTTTGTCCCAGGGCCCGTGGTTGGCTCTCGCCGGCCTTGGAAAGAATACATACAACACAATATGAAATACAACTATAGGACCCCCAACGAATTAGCAATGTATTAAACTAACTCAAATTCAGGAATTGAGCTATGCCATGAGGAGAAAGAAGATAAAAGGTTCTTTTGAAGAACATTTCTTGTAACAAACCTTTAATGTCCCAATTATATCCTTCAGGTGTCGGTCTGATTCAACTAAAAGTTTACTCGATCTACAAAAATAATCAAACATTGTTAACATAAAGTCATGACTTCAATAAATTCCTTGTGTACAATACGTATAAATGATCATTAGCTAGCTAACCTGTGGTCTATAACATGAGTTTCTTTCAGAAGATCCCAAAATTCATTCTTGGCCTGATTCAGTTTGTTTCGCATGTAATCACTAAACTCTGTTTCGCGTCTCTGGAATGTGAGCAAGAACTAAGTAAGTTTCAATAAGCTTGAATTTTGGAACGAAGAGAGGCAGACAAGTTAGATATATATGTAAATGCTAAAAACACTGCAATTACTAATTCATCCAAATCCAATGAAAAAAGTGTGGAGGGTATGTTTGGCATTTTCTTTTAGGCAGCTGTGCTTGTCGTCATAGGCATGAAAAATCTTGGAAATTCTGTCTAACCTTATAGGGTAGCTATATATTTCAAAATTTTCCTGGTGAAACATGACCACAGACCCCCCAGAGGTGTTTCCCATGCCATCGGTGGCGATAGTCCCCTCCACTTTAACCAGCTTGGTGCCTCCACTGCTGGTAAAACACAAGGCTTAGAGATCATCATGGGTTCAAGCCACATATACTCAGAGGATTTTCCTGTGGTGAAACTCTTGTACAAGCAAGACATTAAAATACATACTCGATCACTGGAAGAAAATTTGGAAAATCTTGGGTCGTCTTTGATCAATTTCCTTGCTGTTCTCCAGCTTGTTTTCAGTCCGACCTAAAATCAAAAACTTTCTTAGTAAAACCTTTACAGAAAACGTTATAATTGCTAAACTGTTCATTCCTTTTTACTAAGTACCAGGAAAAACTACTCTTTCCACATTCAACAGAGGCAGAATTTTAATCCATTCAGTTGCTTTGTGCCCTGACGCACCCCACCTTATTATTCTACTCTGTCTAATGCCAGATGATTTTGCCCGTCATGAGGACAGTGCTGGCACTCAATGGGTTAATCACACAACTGGATATTAGATGTTCTACCAATATCTGGTGCAACCCATTGAACTATAAATAAACTGGAAGGCTAACTGCTATGATGAAGGCCTATGATTTGATGAAGCCAAAATAGTTTTTCTGAGTTATGAGCAGAAATACTTGACCCCAAACGTCGGGCTATATATCAAATTGAAGCTATTGAAAATTGCTATTTGGTGTGGAAATTTCAAGACTTCAGCGAAAAGAAAAATATTTAAAAAATACAAAAACAACTGCAAAACGGCAAATTATCGGTAATTATGTTTGTAGTTATTCAATATTTCCCTTTTAGCTAAAGTCTTGAAATTTCTACACCAAATAGCATTTTTCAATAGCTTCAATTTGATATATAGCCCAACGTTCAGTGTTGAGTATTTCTGCTCATAACTCAGAAAAACTAAAATGCACTGGCTTCAATTCCCCCCCCCCTGAGTTAGCCTTCCAGTTTATTTATAGTTCAATGGTGCAACCTCGTACCCAGGATCTTTCATCTTGTGGAGAAAAGACCCTGGTAGACGCTGCATGGTCAAGTGATCTGCTAAAATCTAGCAGGGATTGGATTCCTTTACGACAATAATACAAAAAGCAAATTATAAATTAAACCATAAAAAATATCCAAATATCAAATATTTATTGATCTCATCTTGGATTGCTAATTAAAAATCTGCTAGATTTTAGCAGATCACCTGACCAGCCTCTACCAGAGTCTTTTCTCCCCTCGCCAAGAGGAAAGACCCTGGGTACGAGGTTGTGTCTGGTGCACTATAGAAATGTTCAAATAGCTCAATCGCTACCTATATACGTTTATACCTAGCGCAAAGTGCCTTATCTCAAGTTTATAGCTTTGTTTTAGTTTATAATTCTGAAGTCTGACTTTGAAGATTTACCTCATGAATGGTGGGATTCTAAAAAGCGCTGTAAAAACACGAGCTTACCTCAATCTGTTCATCAAGAAGTTTTCTAAACTGTTCACGTTTTCTCTGGTTCAGTTGATTAATGTGACTATTAAACAAACTTTCCTTTTCTTCTTTACTTAAACTCTCCAGCATCTGCCAGCGATGATCTTTTCTTAACATACGTTTGGTTTCCTTCCAGTTTGCATCCGCATTGCGAACCTAGGAGAAGAACACAGCGTGCTCATTTTCTAAGCTACACACGTATAGGTGGATTCCACTAAGAGAAAGCTACGGTAGACGTTTCGAGCAAAGGCATTCGTTGGCAAGGTAGTGAAAGGGCCCTCGCTCGAAACGTTGAAGTTCTGCTTACGAAACGTTGAAGTTCTTTGGATATTTTGTTATGAGAAAGACAGCCAGTATGTTAGGAATGGCTGCAGCCGGGGCAGTTGTGTTTTATGGTGCATATTCATATTTACAGAGGAAAAAGAAACAGACGAATGAAATTATCAATGATATTATGAAGGAGATGGATGATGCAAATGTTTTTATTCGGGATCCAGTTGGCCTGCGAGAGAAATTGAAAGCTTTTCTTGAAGGTGGTGCAGAGAAAATGCAGTGTATTGCTGATTTTGATGGCACATTAACAAGAGGGTCATTCAAAGGGGAAAAACCACATAGTAGTTTTGCTGTTGTTGCCCGTTCTACGTTGTTACCAGAGGATGTCGAAATATATTTCAAATCCCTTTTCAGTTATCCTTGCGATATTTATTTAGTTGTAACTTAGAATTTTATCACTGTTAACAAAGTATACTAACCATATCAGACATTAGCGCCATAAAATGTTGTGTTGCTTTCTCTTTAACATGCCTCTCCTTCTCTTTCTCTCGTTCGTTCATGAACTCTGCTTGTTGTGCATAAACCTGACGTTCCCGCTCACGCAAACTGGCTTCTACGCGAGTCAACTTTTCCTTATCTTCATCCGGTTCACTCATTTCAGGCTAAAACACAAAATATGATTAAATTCGAGGGAACGTCAAGCCTGGATCACAAATGCAAGCATACAAGTCTCATACACGTATCAATGAAATAAGGTCAAGAATAAGAGACATATACACTATATATATATTGTTTTTCCTTGCGCTTATGCTTAGAGTTGAGCGATATTTAAAAAATCATATCTTGATTATTGAAACAGGAAATTATCATTATATTAATATACAGTAATATCGCGATAAATGCCATAAAAAATTACCACGCAGTTTTAATTTTATTTAATATTTAAAAACTCATTAATAATTCATGAGTAAAAGACAAAGGAAATCACTGCTGTGTCGATGGTTTTATATGTGATAAAAATCATGTTCATTTACATAAACTTTAGCTTTGATTTTCTCAGCTTAGACAACGTTTATTTTTAAAATTACGTCGCCAATGAACTCTTTAGATGGGTAGTTTTTAAGCCATTTAAAACACTAGCAGTCCGTGCTTTACCAGATATAAAACACTCGGCTGTGCTCTCGTGCTTTACATCTGATAAAGCACTCCTGCTCGTTTTTTAAATAATACAACAAGCTACATGCACTAACAATTTATTAATGTATATTTTATTTTCTTTTTTATATAATACCTTATTGAATTCTGATCTTTTAATTGGCTGTTTATGGTCACGTGATATTGAATAGAAAATTCCGTTTCCCAAGAGTGCAATGGAATACGTTCCATTGCACTCTTTACGACAGTGTGACCAGATTTGGTAAATAATTTACTTTTGGTAAAATTTGGTAATTTTTGGGAACGTTTTGGTAAAATAAAATTTTGGTAAAAGTTTTGGTAAAATTTCAAAAAAATCAAGTAATTTAGTATTTTTTGGTATAATTTCAAAAAATAATGTCCCTTGTTTAATAGACTTCTTAAAAAACAAAAAAAACTTGGAATATAACTACGCTAAAGAACTTCTGTATCATGGCAATACCAGTCTTTCCTCATTGAGGTAGTACTAGCATATAGAAGTTTGTTGAAGGATTATGTGCATTTTATTGTATTAATGAATTATTTAGTTGTTGACTGTTGCGTCTCCTGTTGTTATTGCAATTTGTAATAATAGCGAGAGTTATGGAAACGTATTTGGATGGCACAGGGTATAATACTTATGGTACCGGTAACCAGTATCCAGAAGTGGGATACTGCATTCTCAGGGGGGATACTAAACTTTGAATTCTGGTATCCCAGTTTGTTACCGAGAAAAAATATAAATTTCAGACCCTGTATATAATTTATATTGCTAGCTTTCATATCGAGAAAGGTGTTAGAAATTATGTTTACGTGATTATTTGACGGTTTCGTTATGCTGTTGCCATTCACCTCATGAAAATATCCTTACCATTGCACGAATAAACATTCATTATTTGTATAATATACAACAAATTAAGTAAATATCCGACTATAGGAAAAGAAGTGAATTAAACTAGGACTAACAAATGAAAGCACTCGAGAATGGCACAAGGTATCTCCACACTTACTTGTTCAAATTGCTGTTGGTATTCCTTAAACAGTTCCTTCCGACGATGGCTGCTTTCAATGGCTTTATACCTCGGGTCTTCACTAATGTTCGCCTTTATTGTATGCCAATGTGGTTGTCCCCCACCACCAAGACTTTGTTCTGACACTAGCTGAAAATACTCCTCTTTTACCTGTCAGAGCAACAATATAGGAAAGACAAAATTAATGTCAAAAGAGAGAGTAGACCGCATTTGTCAATGGTGCATCGATATTTTATTAATGTAATGTGATGAATGGTTTTCACTTATTTAATTTTTTTTCAGGTTTGGTTGGAGTTGGATTCGATCAGAATTTTTCTTGTCATATTACAATTTATTTTGCAAGAACTTAGAATTCTATCAGGCAAATTTGTTTGTGCAAAATATATATCAGAAGATCGTTTTTTGTTAATGATTCCTTAAATGAAATACGCTAAAATGGAAACGTTAGTTCGCTATGAAAACCACCACTTCGTTAAGCATATCACAACCACCACGCATTTCCATAGGTATCGTCACCATCCAAAGTTCGCAACCACCATAATCACCACGACAATCATCACCATAACTAAAGCTACTGGGAATATCACTACAGTCGAACCTCTATTAAGCGGCCCTCCATTAAGCGGCCACCCTCTATTAAACGGCCACATATCGAAGTCCCGAAATTTTTGTCATACAAATACTATAAACTATCCCTCTCTTAAACGGCCACCTGTATTAAGCGGCCGCGGCCACCCAAAGAGCGGTCCCAAATGATGTTTTATGTCAATTTTTCCTCTATTAAGCGGCCAGCCTGCAGGATTTACTTGGCGCAACATGAGAGCCGAAAATAAAAGTCGAGCTAATTTGCTTTATTTGTAAAATAAGGCTTAAAATAACTCATGCCACTTTACACCTCAAAAGCTTTACACCTCACAAGCATTGACTACGCCCAGGAGGCCAGGATCTATTATTTGCATACCTCTATTTAGCGCCCACAAAGCCGATTCCCGAGGGTGGCCGCTTAATAGAGGTTCGATTGTATTACCATCACCTTCACCATTACCCTCACACCAACATAATGACTATGACCATCATCAGTATGTACATAACCTATCGAAGGGAAGATTCCTGTGAAACTCATTAGAATAACAATATAACTCATTATCTATGTTGGTCGACGTTTATTCATAAATCTGGTCCTTCACCGTCACGTGTGTATTGTATTCTTGCCCAACTAACCAATAGCAATGTTTTAGGAAAGTCACCTATCCGTGACTTGAACAATAGGGAAACTGGAAATTGCTATTGGTGGATTTGGCAGAAATACAATACACACGTGACGGTGAAAGACCATATTTATGAATATACGTTGACTAAAACAGATAATGAGTTATATTGTTATTCTAATGAGTTTAACAGCCACCTCCCCTTCGATAGGCCATGGTATGTACCAACATCATCACACGGATGAGCGCCAGTATCAAGACTATTACCACCATGATTCATCAACACATCACCATCCATAATATCACCTACACCATCACACAAACAACAATATCATCACAACCACATGCACTAATACAGTACTACCACCACCATGCCACCATCACCAGTATCTAATCGAATCCACCACTATCACCAACAAAACTATCATACCACTAAATACAATCAACTCCAACACCATCACCATCACATATCACACCACAACCATTAACTAATCACAAAAGATATCAGTATAACAAAAAAGTTTGCGCATATTTGTCTCAAAACCTACCGTACTTGAGAAAAATCTGTGAAAATGGTTACCTCACTATGGATTACATATCTCGTACCCAGGGCGGAGTCCCTGGGTACGAAATGGTGGCCGCGTTGTGTTAGAAGAACAATGAAAATCGTTTACCTTTTCGGCCGGTTTTTAACAATAGAGAAAAGCATTCAAATGCCAACCTCGGTATGTGCCACTGACTTTAGGCTGTGTATTAGATCATAAACAGTTAAACATCTACAATGATAAATCTAGCTATCCAAGGGAGAAATCTCGTTAGCACTGGCTATAGATTGGCTAAACAGTAGGATACAGGACTTGTGTATTTCGCGTAATATGCACAATGGAAAGCAAGCAGCATGTGAATCCTTGAGGAAAACAGACTCGTAGGTTATTCAAGCAAATTAAAATCAGCTACAAATACCCTATTTCGAGGCGAATGAAGTCAATGGCTGTTATCGGAATATGACAACTTCAGCAGGCTGCGACTGTACTTTTACCGATAGTTTAGTATTATCGTAGTTTAGGGTCACAAGTCCATTTTCGCTACGGTTTCACATGCTGCAACGATGAACACGTGATGATATAAACGACAAAACAACCATGGCTAATATCTAACGTCAAATTCAAAATCGCCTTCAGAAACGGTCTCCTATATTTGTTGGAAATAACTTCAGGAATTTTGAAACACTTTTACAACTATGTTGAACCATGTTGTTATTTTCCTAAAGCTGATATTTCGTACTCTAGGAAAGCTTTTGAATGGAGAAGGCGATTCAAAACATCAAATAGATTGAGCCATGTGGAACAACACAACACGAAAACAAAACACAAGACAAGTTTGGGGACTTAAGAGAAACACAAATTTTCATCACCGTTTACGCAAATTTTGAAGAAAAAAACACATCACAGGAAATGCACGGTGGATGAAATTTTTTGTTTCTCGAAACCCAATGAAGCAAATGACCAAAAATTCTGCTCGTGGAAACTACTTCATGTTATTCGCTTCGATTTTTATTGCGATGAAACAAGTTTAATTCAGTTGATTACAGGGATTTTCTCTTGGTGGGGCAAGGTAAACCCGCCACTATTAACTTTTGCTGTTTTTTACGCTAATCGTTTCAAACTTTGTACTGTTACTTAACTATTTCTAGTACGTTCTTTTCCATTCACTAAACTCTAAAGTTAATGTCCAATGGAGCGGAACTTAAGATCAAATGCTTCACTTTTCACTGAGGTTCAAGTCCCACCCAGCACCGGAAGTAAAACATTACCTTTTCATCGACGAAATCTTTCTTCTTTTGTGAAGCTTCTCGTGCCAAATTCCTCAATTCTTTCACGTACTCTGAGAACAGACCCTCGCGATCTTTCATCTTCGCAATATCTTTAAATCTCTCGTCTTTGCTGTGTTTCAAGGAGAACTCATTAAATGTTGTCCTGAAAAACAGAAACAATACCATGTCTAAAGCATTCCATTTTCAATCCATCCAATCATTCTCCACTAAAGGTGAAGTAAAATGAGCAAGAAAATGAGCAAGAAAATTGCTGCAGCTTACAACAAAAACTGATTTCAATGCATGTTAGTTAAAATGTTCAAGCATAAGTTACACACTCTAATACAATATTAGAAGGAAATTCTAGCTAACATGCGTTAATTGAACATTTTTGTGCCACCTTTTTTTTCCTGCCACCTTCTGGTTGTATGGATTTTTTTCATGTATTGATTTTTTCCTGTACCCTCCCCCTTCATTTTTCTAATTGTCTATCCCAGTAATAATAGAGAGGTTAAGATTGACGTTTACGGCAGACCAGTAACCGCTAACGTAGAGAATGAATTGACTAAAAACCTGTCGAAACCTTCGGAAACTTGTAGAACTTACCTTCAAATGCAAATGGACCTTTCCCCTTATAACCAAAATTTTGATCTACGCAAGTCTAGACAAATATTTCATCACAGCTTGAAAGAGCATCACAAAATTAGAAATATTCCAAAGTTTCGTTACGAAATGTTGTAAAATGAGGAAAATAGAGCCTTGCGAAGTTTGCAATTTTCAGTCATTTTGCATTACAAACGGGAAATTGCAGCCCCAACACCCGAATCGGATGTCAATTTCCCGTTTGTAATACAAAATGACTGAAAAAGGGCAAACTTCGCAAGGCTATATTATCCGCATTTTACAATATTTCGCAACAAAACTCTGGAATATTACTAATTTTGTGATGCTCTTTCAAGCTGTGATGAAATTTTTGTCTAGATCGAAATTTTAGTTACAAGGGGAAAAATCCATTGAAGTTTCCCGTTTGCGGTAACCGGTCTGCCGTAAACGTCAATCTTAACCTCTCTAATGTGTAAAGGCTGTACAAGGTGGAAAAATAGGGGGCTTCGGTGCCGCAGTCGTCAGAGTAAGTGCCTTTCACATCTGAGATCGCAATAGACCCATTGCCATTGAACTATAAATAAACTGGAAGGCTAACTCAGGGGGGGATTGAAGCCAGTGCATTTTAGTTTTTCTGAGTTATGAGCAGAAATACTCAACACTGAACGTTGGGCTATATATCAAATTGAAGCTATTGAAAAACGCTATTTGATGTAGAAATTTCAAGACTTTAGCTAAAAGGGAAATATTGAAAAACTACAAACATAATTACCGATAATTTGCCGTTTTGCAGTTGTTTTTGTATTTTTTAAATATTTTTCTTTTTGCTGAAGTCTTGAAATTTCCACACCAAATAGCAATTTTCAATAGCTTCAATTTGATATATAGCCCGACGTTTGGGGTCAAGTATTTCTGCTCATAACTCAGAAAAACTATTTTGGCTTCATCAAATCATAGGCCTTCATCATAGCAGTTAGCCTTCCAGTTTATTTATAGTTCAATGCCCATTGCACATGACGTCACAGCACCGGTGATGATGCATCTGAAGGACAAATTAGCAATCTATGCATAATATAACTTTTGTAAACAAAGCAAATTTTGTAAAACTTAAAATAATTTTGTATCAAAATGGTTAGTTTTTGCGCCGTATGTGGTTGTTGTACCCGAACAGATATTGTTAGGGAGCATTTGGAGGACACTGTAAGGATTTGTGACGTCAGTACAAAGGGTCTATTGTGGGTTCGATTCTCGCTACGGACTCATGTGAAAAGAGTCAGTCAATGCTCTGCCAAAAGTCGTGGGTTTTCTCCGGGCGCTCCGGTTTCCTCCCACAGGGAAAAGTTGACAGGGTGGGTTAGGATAAACACAGTTAAGAAAGTAATCACAATTGTTGTAAAGATAAATAGTCTAGGTTAAGTAAGTAACATACTGTAAGTACATATAAGCGTAATACTTGACGTAATCGCGGTCACCGAAAAGCCCCAATAGGGAGTGAGCTGAATAATAGTGTAATGTACCTTGAAGACACTTTTGCTTCCTCTAACAAAGCTTTGAACGCTTCTTTCTTCTCCTTCAGCTTACTTCTTCTCTCAATACGTTCTTCCTCTGCCCTGATTCGGACATATTGATCAAAAGCCGTCTTTCTTTCTCTCTGGTTTAGCAGCAAATAACGAGAGTCGAAAACAAACTTCGGCAGTTCCTTTTCCCACGTTGAAAATGCCGAAACCTAAAGTATGGAAAGAGTTCTGTCGGTTCTCTACTGTGCTTCGAGGGTTTTTGGCTGGGTCCCCAATTTTCATCCCAAACAAAAAATCACCCTTAGCAATTTAAACGTAAAATAACCAACAAGGGCATAACCTGCCCCCCCCCCGGTCTAATTGTCCGACCGTCCGGGAGCAAGGTTCCCTAGAAAATTTGTCAAATTTTAGAATAAAATAACAAATAGTTTTTCTTACTCCTCTTTCTCGAAGCATTTCTTTAAAATCATTCATTCGTTCATCTAAGGCTAACGTCTTTCGTTTGATGGCAGCGTCTCTTTCTCTCGCAATAATTTTCCCTGTTTCACTTTTTGGTTTTTCTTCTTCTTGTACCACGGGAGCCACTTCAACGTCGGCGCTCTCATCTTCCACGCTGTTGGAAAACACGGCGATATTAAATTCTCGGGACGATTTCACACTCTCCGAATTCGCTTCGGCACGACTCGGAATTCAGGTCGGCAATCGACAAATGCCGACCTGATTGCTGACCTATTATGTCAGGCTGGCAAAAATTGCCGACCTGCAAATGATATTTTTCTGATATGAATTCAGAGCAAATGACTCTTGCCTTCGCATATTTACACTTTAACGAAAATGTACGAGACAATTCATTCATAATTTCGTAACGATAAATTCAATTCAAAACGTAGGAAAACCAAGCATTTTTTAATAAACAGGAAAAGTAGAAAATTGGAAGAAAAAAGTAGGATGGCAAAAAAGGCTGCACATGCTCACAATTTCTCTGCTACTACATTTTAGATAAATGGCTCCTGTCATAAATTGCGTTGGAAGTTCCGGGCAAACATTGGCTAGAGTAACATGGCCTCAACACGAACTAGTACATATAGTATTACCGTTGCTTTTTAGATTCAGGTTCATCAGCTTTTTCTTCAGGACTTCGCTTAACATCTCTGTTTTCTGAAATAATTTAAACCAGAAAGTGTGACGTAAAATTGTACACATTTCATTCCCGGACACTAAAGTCATAACGTTTTCGTTGCAGAGATTACTGCATGCTTAAATAAATTGAGCTAAAAGGTCTGGGCACTGAATGATGGTCTCTGTGGGTGATAACTGTGTTTCAGTAGTTATGTCTCTCTGACACCACAGATGTCTATGATAAGCCACGCCTATATTTGTCGAGAGCCACACCCATTTAGTCGGGATGCTTCACCCCTCACTCAAAAGGTCCAAGCTACGGCACTGACTGTGAAACCTGCCCGCTACTTCTAGGGGTTGCTTTGTTTTTGCCAGTCAGCCCACCTATATACAGTAGTATCATATCAACACAGCTAAAGATGTGACGTCACTCACTCGGTGCTTTCTTCTCGGGTCCAGCCTCCAAGATTTCATTGACATTGTCATTATCAACCAATTCTTCTGGCTTTTCCCAAACAGACACCTTGGTTGTAGGATTGAAGTAAAACACCTTCTCGTCCCCAGTCCACACAACACACCACGGCGTACCAGGTATCAACTGACTTGCCACTGGTTTATTACTACTGGTCTCTTTTGATTGGTCATCAGTTGTCTGCTCAGTGTTCGCATCTGTTGGTTTTTCATCTGGTACCTGGGCATCTTCCGCAGAATCTTAAAAAAATTAGTAAAACTATTGAGTGCCAACGCCTCTCCCCTTGACAAGTAAAATGGTCTGGCGTTAGACAGAGTAAAATAATAAAGTAGGGCGCATTTTAGGACGTAGGGTACTTTTCCACTCATTGCAAAAAACAACTTGTAAGCTTGCTACGAGGTCAAGGATGTTATATACAAAGAACAAGGATCCAGAATGTTCGATCAGATATATATGAGTTGTAATTATGAACAGCAAAATAACAGATTATAAAATATATTGTTTACCTGATTGTTTATCCTGATTTTCTTCAGGTTTCTCTGTCTCAGGAATTTTATTAGAGTCCTGCATTTTCTCCTCTGGTGTTTTTAAAGCATCGGGTTTTTCCCACACTGATGCCTTCGTTTTGGAGTTGTAGTAGTATGAACGCCCATCCGCCATTTTATGTTCACTCCATTCCGGGTATGCCCCTTGAGGTGTGGAGAGAATAGGAGGGGTACCACCTGGGAATATACCTGAAAGATTTTTGCAAATGTAAAACTGGCTTTGAATTGAGGGAGGTGGGAAATACAGTATAGGAGGGAGGTGGGGAATATAGGAGGGAGGTGGGGAATATAAGAGGGAGGTGGGGAATATAGGAGGGAGGTGGGGAATATAGGAGGGAGGTGGAGAATATAGGAGGGAGGTGGGGAATATAGGAGGGAGGTGGGGAATATAGGAGGGAGGTGGGGAATATAGGAGGGAGGGTGTCTACTATATCTTTTATTCCTAGTCACATATGAAATACTGCAGGAGTGAAGGTGTGTAATTCATTGGGTGTGTCGTTCAATTTGAGGGGTTCCAGATGGTAATAAACTTGAAAATAATAGATACATATAGCACTGACTTTAAATTGGAGGTGGGGGATTAAGAGAAAGATATCTATTTTACTTGAAAAGGATGTGGGGGGAAAATGAAAATAGGGGGGTGGGTGTCTATCCTTTCTCTCATTATCACAATATCTATGATAAAATTAAACTCAGGTTATGCCAATTTGGTTGAGTGAAAATGTGAGCTAATTTGAAATAATTGTAATATTTGAGATACCTGGATTAGTAGGTAGCCGAGGTGGAATGCCAAGCCCGGGTCGATGTTGTAAGTTTGGTGAAAAAGGTAATCTCATCTGCAAGCCAGGTGGGAATTGTGGTGGCCTAAATAGTTGTAAAATAAGGGAAGAAATTGAAATATTTATTGAACAATGTTTCCAGTAAGTTCTTTGTATGTTTGCATGGCGATAAAACATATAATAGTTTTGTTTGTGGAAACACCACGTAAATTTATTACTGTCACAGTAATAAATTTACGTGGTGTTTCCACAAACAAAACTATTATAGTGTTTCCAGTATGGCACATATTATTCTTGCACTGTACTTTTTGGTGGCCAGAAGCAATGTTACAGCAATTACTAGTGACTACAGACATGTGTTTATATCAAATGTCTAATGCAAATCCACACAATGGGTCGTTCCAGAAAAGATCCATACCCCCCCCCCCACGGAGGAAATTTTTGCTGTCCGAAGGGGGAGGGAGGAAAAATGTCTTAGGATGTCCGAAGGGGGGGAGAGGAAAAATGTCTTAGGATGTCCGAAGGGGGGGAGAGGAATGTGGATATGTTTGTCTGAAGGTTTGAGACTGTGATAAAGCCATGTGATCGGCGATTATAATGAGCACGCAATTTTTATCGGCTATATATATGCAGCTCTTGAACACCGGAACGTTTATGTAACAGCAATAATTATACGTCCACGTAACTCGTAAGCAAAATAAGCGGCCCACTTTTGCATGCATGGCCACCAAAAACTAACTCGCTGTAACAGCGTATCCTGCATGTTGAGAATGAGTCGAAAATTGACACGCTTTATTTATATAGTTTGCAGTTTTCGTTCGCCATATATAAGTTTGAATTATTCAAGTGTTAAAAATAATAGTTATTAAACTGTTGCTCGAATTAAGAGACTGCTATGTGAACTGAACTCAAAACAATTTGTTTTAGTATATAGTCAATAAAGCTTCCTTGCGAGGTCCGTGTCTAGAAAATAGAAATGGCTTTCATATTAAGGGCGAGGTTAAGGAATGCAGTAATACTAAAAAATGCATTAACATGTAAGTAAACACAGCAACGCTTGTCAATCAGTCACAAGTTACATCAGATTTCAGTCCAAATTTTACTTGAACGAATTTCGAAGTGAATTTCTGCAAATTATCCGACAAAACCTGCCACGTGTTTGTGTTCGCAAGTCACAAGAAGCCGCCAAGTGTTCCGCCACGCCGGAGCTATTTGAAAACAGCGTAGAAAAGTCACAATAAGCCATCGCTAATTCACTCTACGCTGGAGCGAAATCGTTTGAAAACTTTCACGTCACTTTTGCCGTAACAATTTGAGCACGGTTTCTAAACGGAGCGAGGTGAAAACGGCGGAGCGCTTGATAGCTTCGTGTGAACACAAACGTGTAAACTCGAATGCTTTTCAGTTAATTTTCGTGGGTCTATTTGAAATATTTTGGGTTTACACGAGTGATATTTGTAAACAAACTGTAATGGCGGTAGTATGAACACACGTAAATTCTGCCCGCATTAGTTCGCTCGCGCGTAGTGTGAACGTAGTCTAATTTTTCGGTGACGTTTTCAAACGGCGAGGTAGCCTTTAGAAAAATTTAGAAATAGTGGATGTCCGAAGGGGAGGGGGGTAATTTTGGGCTTGGATGTCCGGAGAGGGGGGGAGGATGAACCATTCAAGGATGTCCGAAGGGGGGGAGGGGGTTATTTTCGATTTCCTCCGTAGGGGGGGTATGGATCTTTTCTGGAATGACCCAATCATACACTTACCGAAGCTGTAAAAGTGGGTTTAAGTTTGCCATGGGTTGTTGTGGACCATTGGGATGCTGTTTATCTTTTTCATTTAGTGCTTGATCTGGTTGTTTCAAAGTGTTTACTAAATTCTTTGGTTTCTGCCAAGCAGATTCTCGGGTTCTGGCATTATAATAGTACACTTTTCCCTCTGGTGTCTTGTGTTCTAACCACAGATCACCATTTGTGTCAATCATGGGTGCATGTACATTCAGTCCAGGGATTGGAAGGTTAGGTAAACCAGCAGCGTTCATTAGTGGTCTCTGGAAATACAGAGTTGACCAATCACATTGTTGATGAACAATTTTATTTGCAAACAGCAACATGTCGATTATCTAATATTGGCTTGTCTATTGGCTTATAGAAGGGCATGACTCTAGGCAGAGACAGATTTTCAAATTTTCGTTCGGGGTAGGGGGTGGTGTATAAATATCTGGGGTGGGGTGCTGCTGCTTGCTTTGGCCGGGGCGTGGTGGCAACGCCCGGAAAGGCCAAGGAAAAAGTTTAACGAGATCTGAGACCATAATATTGGTAATTTTACAAATTTAGTAGTAAGAATAATCAAATATGAAACTATCAAATCAAAATATATATAATTTGTGGAGGTGCAAAAATATTTTGGGGTGGTGCCAAATGCCTCTGGGGGGGGGGTGTAAATCATTTCTCCCCCCCCCCCCTCACAGCATCCCCCCAAAAAATCCGTGCCTGACTCTAGGGTGAGGTGTTTCAAGGTAAAAACTGAAAGCTGTCTGAAAAACCCCCGAAAAAATTATGCCAAAATATATTACAGTTAGATTAAACTTCACAATACACGTGCAAGATTTAGTTTTAGAAACAATTATATTAACAATGGTACAGTATTGCCTTAATACGTAAGCAGTAAGCCATAATTGTTAGATGTGCTATTTTCTCACGTTTTCAACATTTGAAAGTTGGAAGTTTTGTCAGAAAATGTTGAACTAGCACTGTGATCACAGAGTAGGTACATACAGAGGTCTCACTTCTGCTGGAAAACCGTTAGGTAGTTATTACAAAAATAGCTGGCGGCCATATTCGTAGCCAATCCGGTAGAGGCATTCACCCCCCTGGAACATTAAATTTCAATATGTTTTCAGGGGGTGATTGGTTCAGTTTTCAACTTTTCTGGTTTATTGATTAACTGCCTCATTCTATATGGCTCCAAAGCTCTAATTAAAAATAGAAGGATCTTGAGTTTGTTACCACATTAATGGCCATAATCGTACCTTTTTTGAGTAAAATTGACTAAAATGAAATATAAACTATCGTCACATACAAATTACAAACCTGTAGTCCAGGTAAATTCATGGCTGGTAAATGATTTCCAAAATTTGGTCTTGTGTTAGGCAACATGCCTCCAGGCTGCATGCCTGGTGGTCGATTAAACATCATGTTTACTGCAGGTGGGAACATTTGTGGGGCTCCTTGTTGCATTTTACCATCGTGTGCAGGTTGTTGGCCTTGGTTTGGTTGAAACTGTGGTCTGCATTAAAATATTAACTCATTAATCAAATGCACCCTGTGTGCCCTACTTTATTTTACTGTGTCTAACCTCAGGCATCGATTTTGCCACAGTAAGGCCAATGGAAGTGAGGTATCAGTTTACCGTCACCCATGCGCGTCTATTTTAGGCACCGGCGTGAAATGTTTCATTATTTCGTGATTTTTTCATTATTTGTCAAATTTGTATAGGAAGTGTTTCAAAAATGGCTTTCTGTTGAAATTATTGGCAAATACCGACTTTGTTTATACAGTTAGCAAAGCCATAGCCTGCGTAGCGAAGCCACAGCGAAATGGAGTCAAAGACATAGCTGATAGCTCGGAATTAAGCTAGCAAAAAGCTCAAGAATCGTCAAAATTTTCTTGGATTTTTTCGGTCGAAATTCGGATTATTAGCTCAAAATTTGACAAATTCAAATCGTGAAAAATAATGAATAAAATCCGCATTAACTTTTGAAATTTTAGGTGACGGTAAACTGATACCTCACTTCCATTGGCCTATTAAGTGATGCCGAGTTGCCGACCAAGGAAAAGTTGTTTCTCGGCATTCTCACACTTGGATGACAAATCATTGTGAATCATGGTATGGTGGTACTTTTTTGCTAATATCCACAGAATAAAGCAGATAAGAGAGCCTAGAACCTACTATTTATTTGTCTGTTTCAATATCATTACTATATATAAACTATAAATATATATAAAATAGAACATTTCAAGCTAATAAATATGGCAACTTGAGCAAGCATTTCTCCCCTCAAAACATTTCATATTCATTGCTATATACAAAGTAACGTAATATAATAGAAAAGGTTAAAAATTGCAATATTTTACTGAGAAAATCAAACCTGATAGCTTGGCTTTCTTCCACTCCACCGTCCGCCATTTTGAAATCAACCACACTTTGGTCACGTGTGAATAACTATTACCGGAAATATTACTCTCGGATAAAGATGCCCACAGCACTTACCAGTTACCAAAACTTTATCACTGGAAGGGGTGAATAGGGAAAATCCGCGATCCGAGCCAAAATATTAGATAAATCCGCAATCTGCTGTATTAATAAGATCCGAAATCCGTGTAAAACATTCGTCAAATCCGAAATCCGGACAATTTTTTCTGTGAAATCCGACGATCCGAAAACCTATTCACACCCCACCCCCCTGGAAAAGAAGTTTTCATGATAACTCTGTAGTATGGTGGTCAAAACGTTGGCCAGGAATATTATGAGCGCAGTTCCGTACACAAGAACAAATGATCCGCAGGATCGCGATCACCTTTTTCCCAGGTCTCCCATTTGCAAAAAGCAACAGACTTGAAAAATCAATTTCAGAACCATCCTCAGAGAGATAGGAAAAACTAGTTTCGTACTATCAATTTTATTGTTCTTACTTCATTATAAAATAAACTCGTATGAACTTGCAAATTCATGTTAAATAGAATTACTGTAATCAAAACTTAAAATATCAAGGCAAAGTGAGTATGATTATAATGGGTATACACACCAGTAATTCTGCAAAATGTCTAAACATGGAAAAAAACTTCTCTTCCAAATAAAAAGAGAAATATCAGTGTTTTGAGAACATTAAAATGCATTTCTAGACATGATGACATCAAATTAAATATTTACCAATCTTTTCAAGTATATATATGGCCCTTGGAATAAGGTTTCTATCTATTTATTGATTATAACTTTATATATAGTGTGTCCTAACTAATATAGTTTACTCAGTAACATTGCGGACAGCATCATCAATTCCCTTTGCAACATATTCAACATTACTTGGGTTAATAATACACATATTGATACGGCCATTTCCCAACGTGTATATGTGATACTTCTCCAGCAAATACTTCACTTGTCTTGCTACAATAGAATAGACGATAAAAGGAAAAAATATTATTCAAATAAAAAAGTGGACAAAAAATAGAATAGCATGATGAAATGTTTTGTGACATACACAGGTAAAATTAAAACGCACAAGTTGTTACAAGTCTGCAAACAAGTTATTATACAAATCTGTTCACAAGCTGTCGACAAGTTGTGTTCGCACTGCTTGGAAAAAGGTTTGGAAAAAGCTGTTAACAACTCGCAACAAGCTTGATGTCATTATCAGATTTGTTACAATTAAGGTTGTTCCAACAAGTTTGATACAGTCATGATATAACAAGAAAGTTACAAGGTTCACAACACAAGGTTGTAACAGTATCGTTATATCATGACTGTATCGGACTTACTGGAACAACCTTGCAACAACTCTGATTATGCCATCAAGTTTGTTATAAGTTGTTAACAGTTTGTTACAAGTTGTTAACAGTTTGTTCCAAACTTGTTGACAACTTGGGACAACCGCAGTGAACACAACTTGTTGATGGCTTGCTGGCAGACTTGATACAAGATGCGAGATTTTAACACGAAGTATTGACAAGGCAACCTATCATATTATATGAATTTCACAAGAAAACATAGTCGCTTCTCAATCCACTAGAGGAAACGAATTTTTCGTTGTTCCCTGCAGAGCCTGCAGTATAAGCATTAATACGATAAGGCATTTATTAATATAATCTTATATAATCTTTCAAATGTCCAGTAAAATGTTCTCCCCTTCACCACCACTAACTAGCTACTTAGTGGCGTATTCTCATTGATTCTCCAACTAGTTTTCAGAGCGCTGGTTGATAATAATCCAACTCTACATACGTGTAAGTCCAGTGAACGTAAACATGCCACAGTGTTTCATAATATGTTCCCAATTGCCGGGAGTTCCTAATTCACGCATCTTTTGGAAAAGACTTTCCCGAGCAGACTTGATACGCTTTGACATTGACAAAACACATTCTTTCCTAAAAAATTATTGTTACAGCTTTGTTACACAGTTCTTCACATATCATTCAAAGGCTTTAAGAAATTATTGGGGGGGGGGGGGGGGCGGCAGTAACCCCTCCTCCTCCCTGCCATAGTGTCTGCCTAAATGGTCTTTTGTAATTATTTGCCTCTTACCATTCGGTTAGTAAGGCAGGATTGCTTAACACAGTCGTCACAATACGTGCACCTTCAACAGGGGGGTTGGACCACATTGGACGGATGATGGCCTTGAGTTGACTTCGAAGGGTATTCACATATTCTGCAGAACTGGCGACCAAAAATGAACAACCGATCCTGGAAGCTACAAATAAAACAATATACAGTAAAGGAAAATTCGTCCGTTCAATTTATTTACACCGTTCCGCAGATTCTAAACCAGAATCGGCTGACTGAAATCATTGAGTGTGCGCAATGCTCAACGACTAAACTAGAATTAAGGAAAATGGAACGTGAATTAGATCGCGTTTAGGACGCAAACAGAACACAAAAGCTAGGTCTTGTTGCCGGTTTATTGTTAGTTCAAAGAGGTCACCACCCAACCCAGAAGACGCATGTTCACATCAGCAGGTGAGAGAAAATAGCCTGGGTACGAGGTTGGCATGTTCAATGATTTTAAAGTAATTTTGCAACTGACTCGCACCCAGTCCCTAAAATGGGGGTTGAATGATCAAGGCTCGGTCCACTCAGTCCACTGATCTATATATGTACTCATTCACGACTGGGTACGAGACAGATTATGGAAAAGAATTTCTTAGAGAAAAGATAGAAAGTAGACAAATAAAAATATTAAAAAAACATACAATATAAACCAAAGTTCTTCGCAAAAGATTGAGCAACTCCCAGTTCAATCCCTTGAGAAACAAAATGCCTGACAGCGAAAGCATCTTGGTCAATATCACCCGACACAAGACCAAGATACGCGTAATCCAAAAGAGGAAATAAATGTTTCTCCTGCAAATGAAATAGTACTCATTTTATAAAATTAAATTAAACCAACAATCTAGAATTACAAAAAATACAAACTAGACGTTTTTCCTTCATAGAAAAAACTATATATATCCGTTTATCGTTCATAGAAAGAATTATATATATGTCAATTATTTTAACAATGATCGAAATGCATGAAGTTAGAGGAAAGTGTTTGCCTTACTTTCGGCCCAAATGTGGTGCATTTTCCCGCGCGTATAAATACAAATTAATACAAACTTTGCAAATTTCGCAGTGCTATATTTTCCGCATTTTACAACATTTCGCGACCAAACTTTGCAATTTTATTAATTTTAACATGCTCTTTCTAGCTGTGGTGATGGATTTTGCTCATCTTGCCTAGATCAAAATTTAGCCAACAGCTGGAATCATCCATTCTGGTTTAACAAAAATCTTCAAAGCAATCTTCCCGATAGCCTATTTATATAAACATGGAGATATTTTCCAAATATTTTGTCTGCGCCAACAGAAGTTTTGCTTTCAAAAATGTTGAAATAAATGAACATAAAGATGTACCTAAACGAAAGTCTTAACTCGGGGTTAGCGCTAATCCAGTTTGAAAGTCCCTAAATAAATATATTACCTTTATAACATTAGCAATTTTTATCCACTCTTCATTTGAGGGATCCACTCCAGTTGGGTTTTGTCCACAACCATGCAGGATTATCACAGAACCCTCTGGAGCATTCTTGAAAATAAATTTACATACATTACTATACAATAAGTTTTGAGCATAAGTGTTCAGGGTGCGATAATTCGCGTGGCTTTGTACCGAAGGTACGCCAATAGAGAGGTTCAAATTCGACTTCCACCACTACTGCTACCACTACCTCTCACTGGCTTAGTTCACACATCTGATTGGTTAATCGGATATATCAAACGCATCTGATTGGTTAATGATCCCTATTGGTAGCAGTAGCAGTAGTGGAAGTCAAATCTGAACTTCTCTAATATTACGATCCGGTACTACCGAAAAAGGCTTCTTTGTTTTCAGCCACGTATGTATCATAAGGGTACGAGGAACTGATGATATCTGAGTACATACTTTCTAATCAGAGTTTAATTCTCATACTGTGCATGACGTTTTAACAAGACCTGTGCTACTGTACCTATCAGTCTATTTTGTCTATACCTGTAAATCCTCAAGCATTCCATTCAAGTCCAACCCACGAGTTTCTTTGTTGTAACAACGATATTCTCGTCTGTCAGTAAAACCAGCATCTCTCGCAATCTTAACATGGTTGCCTTAAAAAAGAATGGATTCCATAACTTGCAAGTATTTTAATTGTGTACTCCCATAACTTGTGTATTTGGATCTCATAACTTGTGTATTTCAATTGAACACTTCACTCCTTTAGAGGAACATTAGTTAAAAAATAATCTGTGGGACCTAAAAAATGTGTCCACTTAAAGGACCGTGCCTGCATAATAAGGGTTATAATAATCATAGTTATTTTATTACCAGAAGTTGGTGTCCGCTAATTAGAGAGATGTCTGTTAAGTAGCCTGCGAACAGGCTCTCAAGCTGAATTGAGAGCCTGCATCAATGACTAATGAATTTGAATATCTGCCCCGTAACGTTCGTTTTTCCAAATATGGAATGTCTATCCTTATATGGTGTTGTTTACAACTTTCGTGCAAACTAAATTTAGACCGTGCAAACTAAATTTAGACCGTACAGTTTATACTTTTTTTCGAAATATAAGATATTCAAGCAAAGTTTAAAATATGTTTTAAATACTGTTTTCTCAAAACAGAACATTTCGTGCTTTGAGATAAGATGGCCAAGACCAATTTGATCAGTTAATGTGTTTTTTATGCATAGTGCTTCAGCAGTTGACATATATAGAGCTCAGCGGAAACATATAAATTATAGCATCTGACCAATGAGAATTTCGTGTCACGATTTGAGACGCAGATATTCAAATTCATTAGTCATCGATGCAGGCTCTCAATTCAGCTTGAGAGCCTGTTCGCAGGCTATCTGTTAAGAGGTTTGTCTGTTTTATGTAATACTTATCATTCCTTACCCCATGTTGGCTTGGGTGTATACACAACTTTTGGAGGCAAAAACCGCTTTGTAAACTCAAGTATCAAACGTAAACTGCCAGTACCAGACAACGCTTGAACAGCACAAACCTTCAACAACACAAATTTATTTTAAAAAGTGATCACAAGAGCTAGAAATTATGCAGAGTATTTCAGCCTGTCAATGGAGGGGTGTTTATTGGAGAGGGGTGTTTATTGGAGAGGGGTGTTTATTGGAGAGGGGTGTTTATTGGAGAGGGGTGTTTATTGGAGAGGGGTGTTTATTGGAGAGGGGTGTTTATCGGAGAGGGGTGTTTATCGGAGAGGGGTGTTTATCGGAGAGGGGTGTTTATCGGAGAGGGGTGTTTATTGGAGAGGAGTGTTTATTGGGGAGGGGTGTTTATTGGAGAGGGAAGCTTAATACAGAGGGCAGGCACATTGAAATTTGAATAATTGAATATGGTAAATTACAAATTAGTACACATGTTTTCTTTTGTCATGAAGGGGAAAGAAGGGGGGGGGGGTTAAAATGGAAAAGAGGGCTAATAAATACCTACCTCTAAAATCAGGAGGTATTAGAGAGGGAGCTTAGTTGGGATGGGGACATATTTGAGGCAGGTAACTTATCAGAAACAGGAGCTTAATAGAGAATTAACATTATGCACATGCAGTCTTTATAACCTACTCTGTTCTCAACAATAGCTGGACTATCAGCTCCAAGGATTAACTTAGAAGCAATTGTATAAAATTCCTTCATTCCATCAATGCTTAGATAGTCATGATTCAATGTTTTGTCTGCTGCAAGTGCTGTCTCTGTACTTGATACAACTGGCAGAACCCATGGCTTGCCTTCATTGGTTCGATAGACTAAACAGTAGATAATATACACAAACATATCACATAGTAACAGTCTAGGTTAAGTGGAGGGTATGAGTGCACACACATGCACCCCTGGCCTTAGGGGCCAAAAGGATGCATGGGGTTCAGGTTTTTTTGGCCTTACCCAATCAAAGCTGCATTCCATGACCTTCATTCTCAAGACCTCTAACCATATAAGCAACTTCAGTGTACAAACATTTTTTGACAAGCAAAGAATCTAAGATCCAGGGTATCCTGATATGCACAGGATAGTAAAATTTGGTTTTGGATACCAAACTGTGAATGACTTGTATCCCGACTGGATATTACAAAATGTTAAACATCGAAAACTATAGCGATTGACCAATAATCACTATCAGGCCAATTGATTTTTGCCTTATCAGTTGACAATCAGAATCAGTAGAATTATCTGTACTTTCCGATTGTGTGAAACCGATGTTGATAAAATATGCATTTTAAAAATGATATACATTGCGTGTCCACATCAGGGAGTAATGAAAAAACTACAATTTCATCCCTAAGATCCCCCATTCCTCAGACCACTGCACTCATAACTCCCTCAGTTGTCATGCAACCTGCCTTGGTTAATGGCTAGGCCTAGTTCATGACCAGCAACCTAATCAGTAACCTTTTGTTTACCAGATCAAGCAGTACAGAGCTAGTACAGAGCTGAGGCCAGAGTGCAATCTGTGTAACTTCACACTGCCGAATAACAGAGAGCTGCACCATATAGAATGACTTAGTGGGGTTAGATTTTGTTCTAGGATATGTTGAAGTGACCATTATAATAATTAAGTGGCCAATAACAATTAATTAATTATGTAATAAATTATCATCAATTTTATCATGAGAAACTTTCATCTTTGTTACCTAGGCGGGATGGGAGTGTTTATATGGATTTTTTGTCCTGGCTAGGTAAGAGCCCTGCAAAAGACCGGGATCCAGCCTACACGCGTAAAAACAATTTAACAGGATTGAACAATGTTTTGCTGTCCACGTTGTTCACACTTGTCAACAATATTGAACAATATTGTTAAGCCTGAATCGGGTGTAACAATATTGTTCAATATCGTTGACAACTGTGAACAATGTGGGCAACAAAACATTGTTCAATCCTGTTTTCATCAACTATTGCAACAACCGGATCGTTTTTAGCTGTGTGGGATATCTTGCAACTGACTTGTCCCACCTAGCCAAGATAATATAAACACGCTTTATAATCATATAAACTGGTTACCAACAAAATGCATATGGTAGTTGAAAACATAAGTGGATGAAATCCAAGAAGCAAACGTGCCAATATGCCAGCTGTACATTGTACGTATTGTATGTACAGTATGACATGTATTTTCTCTATTGCACAATACCTCCGATTCCCAGATTAACTTTATTCGGGTTCGTATCAGAATTAAACTGATCCAGTATACGGAAAGTTTCGGCTGTAGGGACAGGCTCGATGTCGTGGAAAAAAGACTTAGCCATAACTTGCAAGAATCGTGTAGAATATCCAAGAAATCCCAAAATATAGAACAGATTTTATTTTTATCAATATTGTTCATGTGTTGTTCACGTGCTCGTGCCAGCTCTCACGTTCAAGGACAGGCCAAGGATTTTCCTTAAAAACAGGCATTTTTCTTAGATTACGCCCCCAAAAATCTCGCATCTTGTAACAAGTTTGTCAACAAGCCGTCAACAAGTTGTCTTCGTACTGCTTGACACAAGTTGTCAACAGGTTTGGAACAGCTTGTTGACAACTTGTATAAACGACCTTGCCGAAATTATCAGACTTGTTACAAGGATCTTCTGACAAGTCCGTTACATGCTTGATATTGACAAATTGTTACAACCTTGTGTTGACAACCTTGTAACATTCTTGTTTATCATGACTGTATCAGACTTGTTAGAACAATCTTGAAACAAGTCTGATAATGCGATCAACTGTATCAGACTTGTTATATAGAACAACCTTGTAACAAGTCTGATAATGCGATCAAGCTTGTTTAAACAAGTTGTTAACAGCTTGATCCAACTTGTTTACAGATTGTACCAACAGATTTGTACCAACTTGTTTACAACTTGTGCGTTTTTACGTGTGTACACAGTACACAGAACACTGTACAAGCTCTGTTGGTACACACGCAAAAATCTCACATCTTGTAGCAAATCTGCCAACAAACCGTCAACAACATGTGTTCTCACTGCTTCCAACAAGTTCGATACAGTCATGATATAACAATATTGTTACAACCTTGTGTCGTCAACCTTGTAACGGTCTTTTATGTCATGACTGTATCAGACTTGTTAGAACAACCTTGTAACAAGTCTCAAGTCTGATAATTTGTCTGATAATGCCTTCAAGCTTGTTACAAGTTGTTAACAGATTGTTCCAAACTTGTTACAACAACTGGGACGTACAAGCAGTGCGAACACAGCTTGTGAACAGTCAGAACAGACTTGTACTCTTTAAAAGAATATAGGGTTATTCTACATTTGTATAGCTATCATGCATAGTTGGATCCATGCATTAATATCGAGATAATTTTCGGCTAATGATTAGCTGAATTCATATTAGAAGAAGACGAGAGACTCGTCCAGATACCTATAAATTCGGTTAACGACGGATTTTCCGCCTCAACTTCTCGTCTTAGACGGGAAACTCGTCTCAAGTTTATATCAGACGAATAAATCAAGACGGATTTCTGCACGTAATTAAAAAGAGACTGGGATGGAGGGTCTCCTATTTTAGTTTAGGCCTAGTTTATGAGTTTATTCGTTCCGATGGTTTTTTTTTCATATTCATCATACTATTATATTCATATCAGACGGAAATCGGTCACAGGAGTTTCCCGTCTTAGACGGAAATCCGTCTTCTAAGAAGAGAAGTAGAGTATATGTAATTTTACTCACCGAATTTATAAATTTTATCAACACGTACGCTGTTTTCTTGTTCTTGATAATTAAGTAAGTTTTGAGAGCACCTATCAGATTGACAGTTATAGCACAACTGCAGTTTAGTCTAGAAAATTTTGCTTGTAACGATTGTCCTATTGACAATCGATACGTGATCAGTATGTCACGTTCTTGCAGTAGGCCTAGGGGGATTATTATATTTTAGCGGAACAAGCCGATGATTTAGAATAAAGAGGTTCTTCGCTAAAGACGCTAAAATCATTTGAATTCGATCTCCCAAGGAAGGATGATGTAAAGATACAAACAACAGCTTGCCTACTATAAGCAATTTACATTGTTAAAAGCATTTTTCATGTGATCATATAATATATATATAGAGACTTTTAGACTTTTAGGGTTAGGGTTAGAGATTGGATTAGGGAAAGGGTTAGGGTTATGGTTAGGATTAAGAGTAGGGTTAGGATTAGAGTAAGGGTTAGGTTTAGGGTTAGGATTAGAGTTAAGTTTAAAATACAAAAGAATATAAAATGACAGAGTCTAAAAATAGTAACTCCCCCTAAAACGTGACAGGTATTGAATACGCTATGGTAATGACATACGGTATGTGACCCCAAATTCCTAAAAATGTTCTTGGGTATAAACACTTGGAATGACCCCCCCAAAAAAATATATTCGCAATGTGGATTAGATTAGATTGCAATTGGTTTGGAAATTTCACAATTTTTATAATATTATAAGCTGTTTTCGGAGTTCTTCGTGCAGAAATCCCAGACAAATGACCACAAATTTACTCGATGGATTAAATTAAGGAATTTTAGGGAAAACTAAGGAATTCCATTTCTCTTGATAAGGAATTCACGAATTGGGAGCCTTTGTTGCACATGCGCACAATTGTCTGAAATTTCGTAAACACTAATTCCTACATAAAATATATAAAGTTGTTTTTTAAAATGGGTTTATTTGGAAAAACTCCGCAGAAGTCACCGAAAGAACAAGTAAGGAAATTGAATTTTCATCTAAAATGTTTTGTAGATTTTCTTCATTAACTGTTTTTACTTTTTTTGTTTCTTTTGTATTAAAAAAGTGTTTATATCATTATATGTTTGGTGAGTTCACACTCATAGTGTGCTTACAAAATGCTACATCATGGTGTACATTCAGCTTATTTTGTATGGCACTATAGCAGATAATCGGCCGTTTTGATTGCTGTAACTGTTGATGATTCTAACTGTAAATAAACTCTGATGTCTAAAAAGTAGAAGTGTACATTCAAAAATCACATATTACCTGTTAATGTCATTTTGATTAATTTAAATTGTAAATACCTATAACCATCATAATTCTATTCTGGTAGGTGCAAGAATGGTCTCGGTCATTGCGCAAGGAATCCAGGCAACTAGATCGTCAAATTAGAAGTAAGTTCATCAATCATAGACGTCACATCTAATATATATCTCACCTCCAAAGAGCCACCTTAAGCATATAGTGACATTAGTGGGTTAGCAAAATTTGGCCCTATGTTCGTCAGGCACTTCTCGTCATTCTCAAAACTGAGAATCAATTGTTGTCCTCCCGGTCCCCATGAATGGCTTCTAATCCATATGTATGAGTTGTTTTGACAGAATAAAACAGGAACAAATTGGTTTTTAACTGCTTCAAAACCCAAATTTTGTCTTTTATATTTTCTACTATAAATCGTAGGCATTGAAACTGAAAAGGCAAAGGTGACCCGCACAATCAAAGAGTCTGCCAAGAAGGGGGATGTGGACAGCTGTCGTATTCTTGCAAAGGAGGTCATCAGAGCTAAGAAGGCTGTCAACAAACTTTATGCATCCAAAGCCCAGTTAAGCTCAGTTGAAATGGGGATGAAAAATCAGCTTGCAACATTACGTGTCTCTGGGTCGCTACAGAAGAGTACCGAAGTTATGAAGTACATGCAACAGTTGGTAAAACTGCCTGAAATACAGGCCACAATGCAAGAGCTTTCTAAAGAAATGATGAAAGTATGTGGGTTTTGAGATTCCTGGAGAATATGACAGTGAAAAATTATACTTAATCCCAGAATTTCCCTTTGATAAGTACAATAAAATCGAGTGCATTCCCTGTTAATAGGTTAAATGTTTTAAGCTGATCATCTGCCAAATTGATTTTATTTTGCTTACTCTAAAACCAATGCAAGATTTCCTGAGCCACCCATCCCCTTGCAGTCTTCAGTAAATCCTCAATATTTAAACTGCTATTACAAGACTTTTGTCTTGAGTAAAATCATCTGGTGTTAGACAGTGTAAAGCCTGGTTCACATAAAATCGTTAAGCAGTCGCAGACAGTCGCAGACAGGTGCCGAATTTTTATATGAACACAAATGCAGATTCGCACAGACTGTCTGAGACCGGATCGGCGACGGATCGGGAAAGTTGAACTTGGTTCAACTTTCCCGATCCGTCGCAGATCGTTCATATAAAAATTCGGCACATGTCTGCGACAGTCTGCGACTGCTTAACGATTTTATGTGAACCAGGCTTAAGACAATAAAGTCAGGTGCATTTGGATGCATTGTTACAGTGGCCGAATGGTAAGAGCTCAGTTTTTCCATGAATGATGTCTGATTCAGAAATTCCACCAACACCAACCCAATACAATACAATACAATACAATACAATACAATACAATACAATACAATACAACCCAATATAGTACAATCATAGGAAAAAGAAAACATTCCTTGAATTAATACCAAGCATTACCAGAATACTTTTATTCCAATGATGCACAGCCTTTATAATAATAATTCTATATGACATACCATTTGTATATACATGCTTTATTTATACTTATAGCCTTATACTTTCTCAAATGTAAATTTATTATACAATAAACTATCTATCTATCTATCATGGTAAATCTTAAAAAAAATTCAAAACCCACTATTGAAAAATCAGTTCTTTTTCCTGTGTTAATGGGTTCAACTCTTCCCTGTTCCAGGCTGGGATCATTGAAGAAATGTTGGAAGATACATTTGACAGTCTTGAAGATGAAGATATGGAGGAGGAAGCCCAGGAAGAAGTTGATAAAATATTATTTGAAGTTACACAAGGTTTGAGCAACATTCCATATTAGGCAAAAAAAAAATATGTGGGTTTCCGGTTTCCCGACCCTACCTAGCTTTTGGACGTCGAAATCCCGACCCTAAACTTTTTTATTGGATCATGCTTGTAAGTGTTTCCACTTAGAGGAAAAAGTTTGTGGAAAATTGAAATTTGAGGCAATATTAGGGAAATTTATCATTGGATGTGGAAGCACTGACTAAACAAAATTTGGAAAATTTGAAAAAAAGTTTAAAAAAAAAAGTTAAAACCGACCTACCCTACCTAAGTTTTTATAAGAAGAAACCGGAAACCCACATTTTTTTTTTTGGCCTTACTATCCTGAAATTATGCCATAAAGGATTAGGGTCAAGATATCATAAGAATATTCTAATATTCAGAACTGACTGACACAAATAAAACTGACCGACACTTTGCCCCAGACACACATTATATGATTTTAATATTATATTTTGTCTTTAGGTGCATTGGGTCAAGCTGGTAGTGTTGCAACAAATGAATTACCGGTACTGGTTCATAATTTTTACCCAATAAAGTGCAATAAAATTACGTACTGCATACTTTTTGCAACGTAAAAAAATGTTGTATCCCGTTCATTGAGAGCCAAGGACTTGGAGCTCGGCAACAAAAGAAAATATCTTTTTGTCCTTTTTCACACTAAACCGCCACTGCATGCTTGTCAGATGTTGGGATCCTAGGTAGCGGCGCTACCTGCAAGTGCCTGAAGCTAACTGCAATCCTTGGGCAGACGGTCTCATGCATGCTTAAGTAAGGTAGAAAATTCCAAGAACTCCGTTTTCAAATTCCAAAAACTCAGTTTTCAAATGCCAAAATTCTGTTTTCAAATGCCAAAACTCAGTTTTCAAATGCCAAAACTCAGTTTTCAAATGCCCGAACTCCCGTTTCAAATGCCAGAACTCCCTTTTCAAATGCCAGAACTCCCTTTTCAAATGCCAGAACGACCTTTTCAAAAACCAAAACTCCGTTTTCAAATGCCAAAACTCCGTTTTCAAATCCCAAAACTCAGTTTTCAAATGCCACAACTCCGTTTTCAAATGCCAAAACTCCGTTTCAAAAGCCAGAACTCCGTTTTCAAAAGCCAGAACTCCGTTTTCAAATGCCAAAACTCCTTTTTCAAATGCCAAAACTCCTTTTTCAAATGCCAAAACTTCCTTTTCAAATGCCAGAACTCCCTTTCCAAATGCCAAAACTCCCTTTTCAAAAGCCACAACTCCGTTTTAAAGGTTTTTCCGTACTTTATTCTAGGGCGAGTTGCAAGGTGCAACAGCCATGGCAGACTCAGATGGGGAGGAGGATATGGCTGACATGCAGAAACGGCTTGAGACGTTAAGAAGTTAAAACAATCGCATTTAGATTGACTGAATATGTACAAAACAATGAAAAAAATTGAGCGTTGGCAATATAGATTATAGAGCTAGCTTATGCATGCGGTCTTATCAATGCGATTAGCACAGTGTACAGTTATAATTCTCGAGATTTCGACTGTACACAGGCTACAAAGCGGTCGACTTTGAGAAGTACAGATTATTATTAATAGTGTAATGCTTGTTGTCCAGTCATTCAGAAGACAAGGTGAGCTTAAGCAAGCGATGTTTGTGTCAACACGGATGTCACCCGAAGATTGGTGTAACTAATTCTGGCGGCATTTTGCCTCATAGCGCCCATGTAAGGAAGCAAAAAGCTTTAAAAATCTTATGTTTTCTCCAGAGGTGTTTCTCATATGTGTTGCCGATTACCAGAAACTGACACAAACACAGTTTTTAATCCAGTCCCGCATCAGCTAGCCTGCGAACAGGCTCTCAAGCTGAATTGAGAGCCTGCATCGATGACTAATGAATTTGAATATCTGCCCCGTAACGTTCGTTTTTCCAAATATGGAATGTCTATCCTTATATGGTGTTGTTTACAACTTTCGTGCAAACTAAATTTAGACCGTGCAAACTAAATTTAGACCGTACAGTTTATACTGTTTTTAGAAATATAAGATATTCAAGCAAAAGTTTAAATGTTTTAAATACTGTTTTCTCAAAACAGAACATTTCGTGCTTTGAGATAAGATGGCCAAGACCAATTTGATCAGTTAATGTGTTTTTTATGCATAGTGCTTCAGCAGTTGACATACATAGAGCTCAGCAGAAACATATAAATTATAGCATCTGACCAATGAGAATTTCGCGTCACGATTTGAGACGCAGATATTCAAATTCATTAGTCATCGATGCAGGCTCTCAATTCAGCTTGAGAGCCTGTTCGCAGGCTACCCATCAGCAGACAAAATGTCGCTTGTTTAAACCCCTATGGGAGCCTCCGTTGGTTTATCGTACCAGTACAACCAGGACAAGTTTGGCTCAAAACTATGTTTGGACATATTAACAATCTGCCTATATTAATAATTACGTGATTATAATACACTGTAATTCATGAAATCCTTTACACCTTTCTTTGTTTTAGAGTGCAATTCATATAATCTGTGTAAATAAACTAAAGTTTCGTATTGTATACATTTTCTTATTTTGTGTTCATTGTCCTTTTTTCACTTTTTCTCTCAAAATCAGCCTCTTGTTTGAAATTTTAGATACAGTGTTCATCTATCTACATCTTCTATTCTACTTCTATGGAGGTTTCTTAGAAACCTTCTATAAAGGGTTTCTCTTCTATAGAGCGTTTGCACATGACGTCACATTCAACTTGTTACAACTGCTCCATGCTGCAACAACATTGTTGACAATTTGTTACAACTGCTCCATGCTGCAACAACATTGTTGACAATTTGTTACAACTGCTATATGCTGCAACAACATTGTTGACAATTTGTTACAACTGCTCCATGCTGCAACAACATTGTTGACAATTTGTTACAACTGCTCCATGCTGCAATAACATTGTTGACAACTTGTTACAACTGCTCCATGCTGCAATAACATTGTTGACAACTTGTTACAACTGCTCCATGCTGCAACAACATTGTTGACAACTTGTTACAACTGCTCCATGCTGCAACAACGTTGTTGACAACTTTGTTACAACTGCTCCATGCTGCAACAACATTGTTGACAACTTGTTACAACTGCTCCATGCTGGAACAACATTGTTGACAACTTGTTACAACTGCTCAATGCTGCAACAACATTGTTGACAACGTTTTCTGAGGGTGCGGCACAACCTTGTTCAAGCCTGTCGATATCAACCTGAGGAACAGGTTCGTTTCTACGCGTGCAAGGTCGAGCTTGTGTTGTGTGCATGAGGCAATTGCCTGAAGAATAAGAATAGACCTCGCGACGTTTCGAGGCCCCTCGTCCGCGTTGCAAGTGACGTCACAATAGATAATTGGACGTGATTGTTTTACTTTCACCATTTCGGTGGCATTTCTGCGCAAATATTTATACACCAACGGAGATTGTATCCCTTAAAACGTAACCAGCACAAGCAAAGAGTTTAAGAAAATAAAAAATACGAAAGGTTATAGCATCCACTAGGTCAAGCCAAACAGATGAAGCAACATTAACAATAATGACGTCATCAGCGCGGTTAGAGGTACTGGTATCGAGCTTGTGCTATTGCCATTTCCCTGGTGTTTGTCAATAGTTTGTATTTCATCTTTATATACTTCGAGATTACACAAATCTCCCTCACAACAATGAGCGTGACATTCTTCCTTCTCTACTGAGGATGAGTTATGGGATTTGCTAATAAGTTTCACACAAACTGCATGCGCTGAAACACATTTACTTCTGTCTGCGCAGGTTTTGTATATCCATTTAGATTTCCCAGATATCCTGCGCATGCTCAGGCAGTGGGTCTCATTCTTGCAAGTTATTGGTTTAGGGAAACACGAAGGTTTTCCTGCGGAAGCTAGGGTTCGGTTTGGCAGACATTCGTAGCATCTCAACGCCGAACCTAGGAGTTGAACAAAAAATATTTAGCATGATAAGAACTTCGATAACTTGATCTTGAGATGAGGCGGAATTTTAGAGTGTAATAACCCATATTTGCAGGCAAAATTTAAAAAAAAAAAAAATCAGCATTCTTTGTGGTGTTTGTCTGAATAATTCCGCATTCCACATCACATCTTGAAAAAATTTCTCATCCCGAAAAAAATAATTTTCCACTTCAAAATTTCCCCGAATTTCGAGCGAAGGTCTTTCATCTGTACGACTCCATGTAGTAAGGAAAGCCTAAAGGTCAGAGTTAGGTTATAGTTGTTCTTAATGCTTTCACAACATCAAACCTTTATTTTGTATTTTTTTTATATTTTTTATATTTTTCATATAGTTTTTATATTAAAATGTGCCGCCTAAGTTAGGCTTTATTTTCAGCAGTAACTTTTGGCCTTACTCGAACACACAACATGTTGAACATGTTAATCTAGAGCTGGAAATTAAATGCCCCTTGTATAACAATTCGTGCATGTGTGCCAACTCTCATTCATCTCGTTTGACCGCCAAGGTTTTGGTGTATGTTGATACTTGCCTGTTGTGATTAATGAAATCAAGCTCAGCAGAATTTGACTTGCAAACTGCGTCATGAAGTTTAGTCGAAACTGCACGAGGAGTAACGCGGATTAATAACTAAATAACAGTATTAAAATGACATATGTTAGTGTCCAAAATGAACTCTTTCCCACACATGCATAGACTTTACATCCTTTTGCTACTTTTCATTACCAGAGAAGGCGACCTCGCTGTCCGTTACGTCGTTACGCATGGTGTCATATAAGTTCTGTTGTTCTACCTCTATATCGCGGAGGCTTCTTTATGCTAAGGGGATATTACTCAACACTTCTCAAGGGTCACTTGTGTTGTCTACCGATATGAAACATACCATGAATGGCAACTTGGAGTGTCCACAATTCAAATGGATTTAAGTCACATATGGCAAAATTAATTTTAAGAGTGTCAAACCGAACCCATGCACTAACCATCGAGCTACTGGGATATCCGGTTAAGGCGCTGGTATGTGGCGCAAAATACAACAATAACCAGATTAGATACAAGTATACGTATAGGGAAGATTGGAAGAATACAAATTGCGGATTTATATGTATGATGCAACGACCTGAAAAATTTGATGCTAGTCGTTACATCATGATACACAAAAGCCCGTAAATTGCTATCCAAGCTATACCTATAGGCTCTCTTCAGTCGTAAACGCTTTTAGAAAGACTTTAATTGCACGTATAGCTATCCGACAACTTTGCCTGACTTACTGGTATACAGCGCGCAGACTATTGTCTATATTGTCAGACATAGCCATCTTTCGCCTGCTTTACGCAATATATGTTTCTTTATGTTTATAAGAAATAAATCATAGTATTTTACAGTTATAATTGAGTAATTGATACACCACACTTACTAATTTCGCAGAAGAATTTTTCAGATAACCTTGGCACGCGAGCCACTGGCAGTTCACTCTTTAATAACACTTGATCACAATTGCAGAACTTTTAGCATCAATATGTATATACGTCTACACAGAGAGATATGCCCTGTCAAGCTTAGGGCGTGTATTTAATGATGCTAATAACGCTTTATCGTACATCCGTGTAATTATGGAACTAATAACGAAACGGTAGTTTCTTAAAAACTTCACGTCAACGCACGTTATTCATTTCTGACAAGATATTTCAACGCCATCATGTCGGCAATGCCGAAAAAGATCTTGTGCGTTTGCTATAGATAAATTTATTTGTTTTCAGATAACCCCTTATACGCTGAGCGATATTGTTTGCAAATATCCCAGGAATGCGGTACGTCGCGAGCTTAAACGCATCAACAATTCATAAGTAAATTAGCCAACCATACTGCTTTATTTTGCTCACATGATAATACTGCATACCTGGTGAAGTATATTAATCCAGGCAGCGTTTACACTGTACCGTTTTCGTAGCGTTCTCGTATTGTTCGAGAGAACTAGACTATTGTCTTGCGTTCCCTTGAGGATTAAGAACAATACGAGAACGCTACGAAAACGGTACAGTGTAAACGCTGCCCCAGTCTCAGGAATGGATCAAAATTAATTCAGTCCTTGGACTGGATCAAAATTAATTCACCTCACTTTCATTTCAAATCCTCCAATTCGGATTGGACTAGATTTCAAGTCCTCGCATTTTGATCCAGTCCTCCGCTTCGCCTTGGACTTCATCAAATTGAAATCTAGGTCAATCCTCGTAGTCGGATTTAAAATATTACGTAAAATACTTGGCCATTGTCCACTCTGTTTTCCAACTGAAATTTACCTAAAGTTTTAATAAAGATTGCAGAGAAATTCTACCAATTATTGCGCGAAATTTTCAGGCACATGTTTCCCAGGGAAAAACCTGGGGACAAGGTCTGTTTTCCAGTAGTCTAAATGGTTTTTGGTGAATAAATGTATAAATTCCTGATCAAATTATATTCGGGAACTGCATTTATTTATTTCAACCAGGTATAGTTACGCCAGTAACGTAGAGTTAGGATAGGGGTATGATTGAATCCTGTTGAAGGGGGGGGGGTGATGTGTTTCCATGTTCTCTTGGAATTGTTTTCTTTGTGTCTTTGTTTCCCACAAAGATTTCACCATGTTCTATTGTTCGCCAACTTACAAGTTGCCTACTATTTTTGGCTTTGTTCCAGTGCTTCTATTGGAAAATGGAACCCCTGCCGGGAGACTCTCTTCTTCAAAGTTACGAACAACTACTCCTAAACAACTTTTGGTAGTTTACCATAGCAGTATAGCACAAACTCAACACGGAGTACAGTGATCAGTTTATTAAATGGAATTTATCATAAAGGGTATGTGCCGAATTTTATATCAGTAAATCCAAGGGAAATGCGTTCCGGCATAATCTCACTGAACCAGTTATGTACAGCTGCATTTACATAAGCAGTTTTGGCAAACAAGTTCCTTCATTTTGACTTTGCTTAAAACCAGATACGTCAAAGGAATATCAATTTTGCAAAAACGGTGGTTAACTGACACGAGGCATATGGAGGCGTTGTTTGTAACCATTGTCTGATTGACATTATCTTTTGGGGTTATATTAACACAACGGTTATGAATAGCTGAGGTGAATTAAAAATATAATCATGATTCTCACGGATATTTAGCGCCAAATCATGAAATCATGACGCAAGCAATTGTTGTATAAGTTTTCAGCAACAATTAATATTCTTATCAGTCAGTGTTTTAGACAAGTCAGTGTTTTAGTCAAGCCACCTGCCGAAGGCTTTCAAATTAGAATATATCCGCAGTGTTTTCGATTTCTAATGCTACTTGTATGATTTGTATGACTTATTAAAAGTCCTGTAAAACAGTTGAACTAAAATTTGGAACTGAGCAACTTTCAGAGAGCGGGAAATTCAAACAAAAGTTTTTTAGCCGAAAACTTCCCACTAATACAAATATTATTCTTTTATAATGATTCAACTCTTGTTTTATGGGATCTGATAAACTGATAGCCAGTTACCGAGTGAATTTTAATGTTACAGTATGACGTACATTACATAAAGTGCGAGTGTATTGTGCGTAATAGTGAATCAGTAGTGATTTTAAATACCGAAACGTATAACTATAACTGTATAAGCGTTGAAAACGAACTAACGAAGCGCTCGTCGAGTGTTTCAGTACTATACATTCGTATGTAGTGGAGAAACGTTAAGCAAGGGCATACACACAACTGCACAAGCGACTGACTGACTGAGTGAGACTGTCAGCCAATATTCACCAGCTTGATTTCGCATTGTGCGAATCATCCCGAGGGCATTCTCAACCGGAATATCAGTCGGACCTCCCTTTATTTCTTTAAAGGTTACGAGGGCAAGCGCCAGCAACCCCAATAAGGCCAAAAACTTAAACGTAGATCACTCGTGACTCATAAACACATGCAGAGAAAATGATTAGCTGGCGTAAGACAACATTGCAAAAGTGCGAGATCCAATTATTAATTGAAAACACACAATCTATAGTACACTTTCCCCAAATTGTTTCTTTAATTTTTTTTATGAGTTTATCAGTAAAAATTCCGATCAGAAACTCTACTCTAAGGATTAATAGTCACTTACCAGAATTAATCCGGGAAAAACTCCGTAAAAGATAAAGATTTCCGTGAACAGATGGAAAAAGTGTAATTTAAATTGCCTTACCTCGAAAGGAAGCTTTAATTAAATATCAGTGTTTTATTTACACTCTTAAATGGCCTTCCTTTTATTGCAAAGACTTCGAAAGAACCTTTTGCGATTAATTGAAAATAGAGTCTCTATTACAAACGACGTTTAAAATGTTATAAGCGTTGAAACGAAAACTTGAGAGAGATTTTTTTACGGCGACCAATATCGTATTTCACGCTTTGTAACTCGCAGCTGCGACTGTAAAAATGATTGCGGTTATGAAATCTGGCCTGAAATAGCTTGATTCGAATCCTAGCATTTATAGCAAAGCGTTAAATATAAGATTAAATATCGTACTTACAATGAAAGCGATAGTGAACGGTTTTATATAACACCAATTGAGGAATCCTTCAGCGTGACTGAGCGGTGTTTAGTTGACAGCTGACAACAGGAAAATAACTCGTAGGGTGCCGTAAATGATGATATGTTTATTTCTTACATGTTGTGATACGCTTATCGCCTCATTCTTTTCTTTATTCAAGATGAATTGATGTGAAACTGATAAGACAAACACATTAGAGTGGTTATGCAATGCGTCTCCAACTCGTGGTGCGATGCGATAATAATTGCTGCATTTCAATAATGCGACTGCATGATCGTCGAGCTTCAGAAATGTTCACACTGACAGAAACAAGAAGGTCACTGGTACAGTATCTTTCAGCTGTGTCTATTTTGCCACTATATTACAAGACTACTACATATTTATATCAGAAAATAACTGATTAATTAATTAATTAAAATTATGTTTCACTTTGTCTTTGGTAACTGCTGGTTAACCAATGAGGTTGACCAACATCTTGTCGTGAAGTTTCCAAGTAAATTAGCTATTGTAAATTATATTGGTGGGTTTCACTGAATGGGTCGACAGTGGCCAATGCAGCACTTCGCGGTCAACTTTGAAACGAAAAACAATTATTGAGCATGTCACAAGTGGTTGATGGCAAATAACGTGGAATGGAAACATTTAGCATAATTTGCTTGCTTTAACAAAGCCAGGGTAAAACGAAGATGAGATCATGAGAGTCACGAGTTGTTATTTTAATTGCAAATTTTAAGCTCTGGATCAACAAAATAAAGACCTGATGAGTGTAATTGATATACAGTGTTAGAAAAGCATATAGGAAAGCATATTAAGCTAAGCAACGTCCCGTGATTGGCAACGCTCGCTTGCTTGGTCAAATATTTGTTGACCCTCATGTCGGTAGCACGACCAGCGCCACATAAACCCCGCCTATAATTGTTACCCACGTTTAAAATAGAGTTCAACTAATCTATAAAGGTTATAACGACAAAGAATTTACGATTCCGACAAGAGTTGTATAGTCTATATATAAATATAATACTGTGTAGCATACGTGTCCTATAATGTTGGTCCTACTCCATCCAACATTAGAAAGGTTCAATTTTGATTTCCACCATTAAGATTTAAGGGATCAGGGGCCGGTTGTATCAAGCCCGTTTAGCTTAAACGATGGATAAGTCAAAATTAAATAACACTCTTATATCTCTCGTGAATCAATTAACTTAAATATTCTACACTGAATATGTAGTTGTAAACAATGCCGTTCTATTAAGGTTCAAAACTTTTAGTTTGGTTGTTGAATGAATCTATAGACTTGCTTTCTATTTTGAGCTTGACCACCGTTTAAGCTAAACGGGCTTGTTACAACCGGCCCTAGGCCTTAAAAGTGACCTAATAATGCTGCACGTACAAGAGTGCCTCACTGACGTGTTTTCACATTCATATCGTGAGTAGTTGCGCATTAATCCTTAGGCTTAGATCCATAATTTAGATATACGACCGACATAAGCTTCTTTTCTTTGTATAGACAAAACATTTAATGAAAAATAGATAGGAACCAGAATTCAATTAACGGTTTGTGCGTGAATCAGTGGCAATTGTTTAATTTTTTATGTGGGAACAAGCTCTGTTGACACCGTAAAATACATATTTTCTCGTCTCATATAGTACGCTAGCATTTCAAGTCGTGACAGGTATAAGTCAGGTAGTTTTTCTAGCAGACTGTGATCAAATTTGCTCTGAAAGGTAAAGCTCTGTTTTAACCTTTCGAAATTGTATTAAATACGAAAGTAAATACAAGACAAGATTTCCATACAATCATTTATTTATTTTGAACAGTTTGCTAAGCCGTCGCCCTGACGTCACCATCTTACATATACGCAAAACTGTCCTAATGCTGTCTTATCCTTGACTCGCCCCCAAGTTGTCTGTGTTAAAAAATTTCAAGTGCAGACGGAAGCATGAAAGGTAGCAAGGGCATGCGGGCGGTGAGCACATACGCTAGGAGCGTTGGAATTGTGTAGTTCAGCCATTTTGGTTATCACTCAACCTGGGGTGGACTAGCGCATGCGCGAAACTGCAGTCAATTCAAAACTATACCTACAATCCTCAGGTGCGAGGGGGAAGCAGATTTCTGATCCTGCAGGCACTTTCTCAAACGGGGATGGTCTGAAATTCGCAGCTGAAAACTATACCAGAGGTATCAGTCCTCCGAGCTGGAGACCAAGACCTCTAGGGCTGGAGATCGAGAAAGACAAAACGACTACACGTGAGAGAGTCCGTCCTCGTAGCGTGGGCCTGGGGACGAGGCTGGTGAGAGCCACAAGCGCTACAATCTCGTTTCCCGAGTCTGCGATCCTCGGGAAGGAACGCGAGGCTCTGGGATAATCCGTTGCCGGAAGCCAGGAATCCTGGCTAAGATTGAATTACGCATTCCATTTGAACGGCCAATCAGATTCCTCCCTGAAACGGATTATCCCAGAGCCTCACGTTCCTTCCCGAGGATCGCAGACTCGGGGAACGAGATTGCAAGCGCTAGGCCAAGGCAGGACCAAAACGATTATTAACTGATTCATAGTTACAAGGCATTATAGCGGTTACAAAGTTACGAGTTTGGCTTTTGTCCTGCTGACTTCACCTGTTCCTCCTCTTACGTTGTGCCAGAAAAAGTGCAGGTGGCAAATAGTTTGACTTCAATTGTTCAAAAGAAAATATATTTTACATAGAAAGAACGAGTTGTTTTATATCAGTTTGTTTTGTTGTTACATATTAAACTTGTAGCAAGCAATAAAGTGTACACTAAGTTGTTCAATGGAGTGTTACGTCTTTAGTTGAGAAAAACCACCAACATTTTACCGCGTACAGTTTACGTACTAGCCTCTCATCTGTCCTCATTAAACAATACAAAACTAAATTTTTCTCAATTTTTAATATTTGTTAGTTTACACTCAAGTATTAATTAAGCAATAGTTGAAATGTCCCATAAATTTCTCGCAACTGTGACAAGGAATCGACTGATTTTCCCAATCACCGCAACTTGTCAGATAAATAATTTAGTTTGCGCACAAGAAAATCATTTGCCCGTGACGAATTTGTTCTTGTGCTATATTGATGAAAATTAACTACAGTATCTTCTTAAACTTATTTTCCTTCAATGTTTTAATTTTAAAATAACTGAATACAAGATGAGGTCGACTTGAGAGTTATAACAAAAGAGTTGAATGATTTTTACTATTGAAGAATAACAGATTTTAGAACTTTTGGCCGAGACAACTTTTTGGTTAGGAAAGGTACGTAGACCATAAATGTCGGTATCAGTGTTTTAATAATTAGCTACTGTACTAGTCTAGAGTTTAAAGTAATTTTCCAAACACGAAAACGTAATGCATAGCTACTGACAAGAATGACGCAGTATACAAGTATCATGACAATAGATCATTGTACCAATATATATATTATTAACTCTTCAAAAGTGTTTAATATAAGCTGATAGAACATAGTCTACACAGCTACAGCAAGTAGCTCAGGAAGTTAGATAGAGCGAATGTTCAATTGTATCCGCGGATAAATATAATTATATCTAAAAGATCGTTGGTGTGTGCATATTTTGCATTATTTTTGTAAGCATGTATTTTTGTGTGTACATGAATTCTCATGGAAGATTTTTTTAATATACTGTAGCTATGCGCGATGAAAGCGTATCGGCTGTAAACAAAGCGATATTAGTCCAATAGAAAGAATAACACTGAAACAGGTACCAAAATCTGTATCTATATAAAGCAAGGACATTCGAACAACTTATATTAAATTTCTATAGTAAAATTATTTTTGTACATGTGTGAAGATTTTATATTTCTATTTATCAGAATATAAGGTGTTGCATATTTTTCAAATTCGGTGAAGAGTCGTCCCTGACGCATATCGGTTTGACCTTTGATTACAACTCTACATTATTTCTCAATAATAATTATATCAAGTCCTGTGATCCTTATAAGAACTTTGATCTCTGCAAAACAAGCATGTTATATAAGCAAACTTTGATCATACTGGAAAGACTATCAGTGCTAAAATATTCTTAGAGGCACAGTGAGGGTCAACCTTTGTTATTACAGGATGACTGCGGAGTACCTGGAGAAAACGTGATGTACTAGAGTCAAACTGGATTGACCCAAGTGGAGACAAGTCTTCTCTCATGCGACTGAGCGGAAATTTCAATCAGACAACTGCATATTGCAAGAATCCAGGTCGCATGCAACTATATATGCATGAGGGCAATGTACATAATGATTCGAAAGAAAATCAGAAGGAGGTGTGAGGTAGACATTACAGAAAATTTATATAAATACGTAATAAGAAGAGTCGATAGAGCTGGAGATATCGGATAACAGAGGAAGTGGTGTGGACCAAGGAAGAGAAGAGTCGATGGAGTATTAAGAGAAGATGTAAGGTGACTGCCCACCACAGAGTAGTGAGAAGTCGTGAAAAGTCGTGAAAAGTCATGAAGGGTCAAAACGAAGAAGCTGACTCCGGTTTAGTTTTGAATTGAAGCTGAATTAAAGAAGAGAAGAAGAACAATAACAAGGAACAGTATCAACAACCCCAACAACAACAATAACAAAAAACAATAACAACAGCCACCGCAACTGCAACTGCAACAACAACAACAACAACAACAGTACAGAAAAACAGCAACAACAATCAGCAATGGACAACAAACTACTACAACAACAGCATCGACTAACAAACCACAAACCGCAACAACAACAACAACAACAACAACAACAACAACAACAACAACAACAACAACAACAACAACAACAACAACAACAACAACAACAACAACAACAACAACAACAACAACAACAACAACAACAACAACAACAACAAGAGTAACAACAAATATAAGGATGAAAGTTGTACTATGTAACAACATCTTAATATGATAGACTGGAAATAAGCACTGTACTCAATCTGTAACCACAATACAGTCCACTAAAATATATTTTGAAACTCTCAGTTACAGATAAAAAAGATAACAGCGCGATGACAGAAGAAACTAAACCAGAGGACACAGAGGCGTCCAAGAATGAGAAGACGACGAAAAGCAAGCCAGGCTTCCCAAAACGTTATGTCATTGTAATTATGTTATTTCTCGGCCTAGCTACACAATATGCCTTGAGAGTGAACATCAATATCGCTATTACTGCCATGTGCAATAACCATACTGTGAAAGAAAATGGATTTACTATAACGAAGGTAATATTCAATATATAAGTAAGGAACCCAAACAGTGAATCTGAATCCCAGCCATACGACTAACTAATTTCCAAATCCAATTCACAGTAGCAAAATTGCTTATGCAAATTTCAATCCCAGTGCCGGATATGTCTATACATTGAATAAATGCTGTGTTCTATCTTCTTTTTGTTTGGATTAAATATTACTCGCGCAAAAGTGTTTTAGGTAATCTCAAGTATTTGTATTTATTTCAGCCGGCAGAGTTCAGCTGGAGTTCAAAGCTTCAAGGTACATTGTGTTACAATACAGTTAATTTAACTGAGAAACTTTTTCCAGCTTTTAAGTCATGAGAAACTGGGTTCGATTTCCATATTAGAGTAATAATCCGAACCAAATGTTCATCCTAATCGTCATTCCAAAATGGTCAAAAGTGAATAACTTGGTTTTATTTACTACAGGTACCATCCTTGGATCATTTTTCTATGGATATATCGTACTGCAGATACCAGGTGGTTACCTGGCTTACAGATTTGGTGGAACTAAGGTGTTTGGAATGTCCTTACTCATTGGTTCTCTTCTAACTCTACTCACTCCATTTGTTGCTCGAACCTCAGTCGCAGCTCTCATTGCCCTGCGTGTTCTTGAAGGCGTATTCCTGGTAAAGTATACAGTACTCTGCGATAACGTTCTTTAATACTCGAACCGACCTGACCGCGTAGCTCAGGTGGCAGAGCATTGGGCTAGTATTCCAAAGGTCGTAGGTTCGATTCCCACCGTGGCCGGGCATATTTTTCAGGCTTGCCCGGTGTGGATGCACACTCAGAGTAACATCGCAAACATCAATGTTCTTTAAAGTTTTGATGCTTGACACCTTGAATTTGTAGCTAATATACTTTGGGAATTTTACCCACGAAAGATAGGAATTTAGTGCAAATTCTGGAACTATTGATAGATGAACAAAACTATGATTTAAATAAAATCCATATAATGTACTTTACTTCTAATAATGCATAATTATACCCATGTCAGTTTCATACTAACTTTTTCTTTAAGGGCGTCCTTTTTCCCTGTAACCACGACATTTTAAGAAAGTGGGCTCCTGCTTCGGAAAAAGCAAGATTATTTGCCATAACTGTCGCAGGTGAAATAAATATCTATCCTGAAATAGTAATTTAAAAACGTATGGATGGACTGTACCCAGTATAGAAGGATCATTGCAATTTAGCGAGTTATTACATTTATTGTATTTATTTTATATCTAGGCTGTCCAGTTGGAACAATTATTACGATGCCTTTGTCTGGTCTCTTAACAAAATACGGTCCTGATGGTTGGGCGTCAGCGTTTTACTGTTTTGGTAAGTATCGGATGCTTTTAATCGGTACTGTGGATCTGTACTCGATCGGCATTGAATACCGCGCCCATGCAGTGGTGAAAATAGCCATAGACGTAACCTATTTAGATGAGGGTTAGCATAGCATGACCAGTTGCCATGGCTAGCGTCACCTCTGCTTGTCCCTGAATGTAGTCAATGGCAAATAAAATATAGTCAATGACACTATGCATGCCGATGACAGACAACGCCTAAAAAGACCTGTATAGGTAGCTTTCTTCTTGCTCAAGAACAGTGCACATAGGGGACATTTAAACATAAGAATCTGATTAGAATCTCATTATTTGATCTCCTTTTGCCGTTGTGTTTAAATCGCGTAGGACTGAATGATTGAAACCCACCTATAATATAGAACAAGTCAACCATGGTAGAATCGATTAAGTTAACATAAATTTAGTAAAGGATGTTCTGTTTTTTTTGCTTCTAGGTGGAATTGGGTTGTGTTGGTCATTTATCTGGATGCTTATTGTTCATCCGACTCCCGAAGATCATCCAACAATCTCCGATGAAGAAAAAGAGTACATTTTGAAAGATACCGGCAAAAACAAAACCACGGTAAGCCGAATTCATCCAGGTTCAAAGTGGGTTTTGCTTTAAAAAATGAAAAAAAAAATATGGCGGCAAATGTTGTGATACAAGGTACGGTAAGAACTATCGACATATAAGTTTGTTTTAATGTTTTGTTCCCAAAGTTAGTAGACTTTTCTTAACTTGCGTGAAACTTTTTCTTTTATAGAATGAAAAAGTTCCATGGTGTTCAATAATAACCTCTCTTCCTGTTTGGGCTGTTATAATCGCGAACTTCTGTGTTGACTGGGGATTGTACACTATCCTTATATGTATTCCCAAATATTTTGTGGAAATTTTGAAGTTTGACATTGCCAAGGTGAGGATTCATGAACTAATTTATAGTAGAGATTATCAGATGGTGAACGGATTTTGCTTCTTGGCATCAACACAAGACCAACTGTTTAGATGAACTACTGTATATAATTGAGGGATCGCCCGAACACGTCGAACACACGTAAAAACGCACAAGTTGCAACAAACCTATAGCAGACTTGTAACAGACCTATTCCAACAGGATGTGTTCGCACTGCTTTTTGACAAATTGTCAACTTGCTCAACAGACTTGTTCCAACAACTTGTTATCGTCTTGCAACTCAACCATCTATACTGGTAATGGTTCTAGGAACAAACCATCCCTTAGTTTTATTCGTCTAATGCAATATTTATACACTCGGACGGATCACCCATCAAGGCAAACGATGCACTCATAGTTGACGGATAATCCGTCTGTCTGTGGTGTTTCTACACTGACAAATTACCCATTTCTTCCCAAACTCGTCCAGCGATCGATGGATAACCCATTTTTAGGACTGAAATCGAGCTAACAGGGCAATATCCTCTTCTCCCAGTTTACTCTCGACGAGGAAATTAGTCTTTTTAACGTCCAGTTGGTAGATAAAAGGTTAAAAGTTAATATTTTCTATAATTTCATAGACTGGTTTTGTTGCTTCTTTGCCTTACCTTGTTAAAGCGTTTGTTGGACCAACTGGGGGGCTTATTGTTGATTTAATGATCAAAAATGGAATGAGTGTGCGAAATGCTAGGAGACTGATCTTTACTATTGGTAAGTTACTGGTTTTATGATTAGCTTCCTTAAACAACAGTGTTTGGGCTTCGTTCTTTAGGAATATTTACTCTTTAGTTAAAAATTTACTCCTCGGTTAAAACATTTCTGGTTATTAATCTAAAATTAACCCTGTTTGGAGTGAATTAATGCTCGTGGTGAAATTTCCTGATTAATGTAGGCCTGGTTATAGTTTAACCAGGATTCCTGGTCCATTTAACCAGGCTATATGGTTGAAATAACCAGATTATGTTAGGTGGATTATTGACCAAGAATTCCTGGTTAACTATAATGATTATTTCGTTCGTTCCTAGGTTGTACCGTTGCCGCCATCTTTGTCCTGGCAGTTGGCTATAGTCCAAATCCTATCATGGGTGTTGCGTTTCTATGCATTGGCGTTGGTATAACCGGAGTGAATGCCACGGGTTATGCGGTGAATCTGCTGGACATTGCGCCAAGGTTTGCAGGCGTGATTATGGGAATCACCAATGTATTTGGTTCGTTACCAGGTTTCCTCAGCCCGCAGATCGTTGGTATTATCACTGTGAATAAGGTAAGGTGGTTGTCAGGTTTTAAACTGATTAGCCAATCACGTTTATGAACCCTTGCTACCTCCTCCATAGGCCGCTTCCCTAATCTCGTAAGGTATAGATAGTATGCCCGTTCGCAGGTTAGAAATTCGCAATTAGCCTTTCTCACGATGACGAATATCCGCCATTTTTGGGTGGCATCTAATTCTCGTTAACCAAAACAGACAATTAAAACAATATGAAAAGCAATTTTTCAAAATAAACTAACCATTTACAGAGCAAATTTACCATCATTCGTCCAGAAAATTATAAAAAGTCGCTGTTTTGTGGACTTATCTCGCAGACTTCGGCTGAAAAGCCACCCAAAAATGGCGGCGTGAGACGTGCTCTTCCGATCTCTCACATAAACGTTTGAAAAGTCGTTTTCAAATTACCTCACTTTTATTCGCGCCTTCGACTTCACTCGCTGCCGAGCTAAAAGCTAGGGAAAAATCTGAGGCAGACTTGCGACAACACAGAAAGTCCAGGCTCTGCTTATGCCCGCATTGGGTCTTTGCCCGCACCCGGCCTAGGTTAGAGAGGGAGAGCCAGTGACAATTCTAATCTAACACTTATATCCTCGTCCCCATGGCCTCTCGCGTGAATATGGCTCTGGGGACGAGAATGTTATTGACCGTGATATATCCAAATGCGAGCAAGCAATAAAGAGTGATTGTATATTCTTAGTTGCGGTAGATTATTTCTTAAAAAGGATTTAATGTATTGTTATGTTATCTTTGTAGACTGTAAGTGAATGGCGTACAGTATTCTGGATAACATTCCTAGTGTATTTGTTTGGTGTTGTAGCCTTCGGAGCTTTAGTTTCAGGAGATAAGCAGAAGTGGGCGATGACACCTGAAGAGGTGGAAGCACTGAAGAAAGACGAGGGCAAGGAAAAAGATGGCAAGGAAAAAGATGGCAAGGAAGAAGAGAATGACAAGGAAGAAGAAGAGAAAGAAGTGGAAACACACGGTGAAGAGAACAAAGATGAGGGGCAAGATGGAGTAAAAGGTGATTCAGAAGATACATCTGGTAGCAAGGAGGAACCCGAGAGTAAAGGGGAAACTGAGGAAACTAAAACTGCGGAAAACGGAGAAACGAAAGGCGAAGATGACGGAGAAACGAAAGGCGAAGATACGAAAGGGGAAGATGGCGAAGAAACGAAAGGCGAAGATACGAAAGGCGAAGAAGGCGGAGAAACGAAAGATGGCGGGGCGACGGAACAACAACAGGATGAAGGCACGAAAGATGGACAAAATGGCGAAGACTCTGCAGCGAAGGAATAACTACATGTATTTCGCCCACGTGCATCAAGGACGAATTTTGAAGCAAATAAAAATTTACAAGTTCACTTTGGGTGCGTGTTTGAAATAGACAGCATACAGTAAAATCACAGTCTATCAAGATATGATCGTCTGGAAACAAAACAGAAGTCATAGTACAGTATATTATGTTTTTGTCGGAGTTTATGTTAATTTGTGCACGGTCACGGTGATTGAGGTCATTATGTTTTCGTATGATGAAGTAATCGTCCAATATGAATAGCGGAGATGAAACGTGCAACCACGATGAGTAATATTTAATGAAGTTGAGACAAAGGATTTGTGCACGGTGAAGTACAGTTCAACATCATACAAAGGTCACCTATTTTGCGGCTTTGAAGTTTGACGGGCTTCTAGACTATTATATCTTGACAGATTATGCTCTCATCCTCTACATGTGACCATAAATAAATCAACACAGAAGCAAATAAAATATCAGACGTTCACTTATCGTTTACCAACGTTTGAAGTAAGCCCCATATAGATAGTAACCCTCTTCTTTCCAAATATGGGCAGACAAGCGTCCTCCTCGGTATATGGTTTTACGATCGACTTGTTAAACCTTGTTTGCGCGTTGTAGCAACAGCGTAAGAAACTTTTCCGTACGGCTACAGTTAAAACCAAGTGAAAAAGCGCACGAAAAAAATAGCTTTATTTTCCATTTACGAACAATGGAGATGTCTTTCATTAGTTTACAATTCGTCAATACTAGGCGTCATTGACAGTTCTAGTAAACAAAAAGGCAAAATGTCGGGTTCACAACACGCTTCCGGAAAGTAAGTCATTTTTGCTATGGAGCCTCGTTTTCGGGATTGAGACGTCGGGCTTGAACCATAGATATCTTATATACACTAGATAGCGCATCTCTTTTAGTAAAATTGAAGCCAAGAATATTCCAGCGGTTACCCCCATTTAAATAGAATGGCGGCCATGTTGGAGTTTCCCACTCGCTAATAAACGCTTAAAAAACAACAATAACTTTCATCATTTGAATATAGTTTGAAAATGTATTTGGAATAGATTTAACTTAATGTTTAAGTTCCCTGTTTAAGAAATAGAAAACATACGAGCTTCTCATTTCATGGGAATATCCCGAGTCTGCAATCACGGCTTCAATTTTTGAACTGCAGAATAATTAGATGCACTATCTAGTGTATATAAGATATCTATGGCTTGAACTAATGTAATATACGCGAAAACGAGGTTCTATATCCAAAGTGACTTACATTCCACGAGGGTGTATCCTGGTCTTGTCGCATGAGATTCAGTCTACATCCTAGTTTAGAGACAAGACGACTGGTTCACACATGCGAGTGTTTGCCTTATTGTGTAAGATCAAAGTGTCAATCAATATTTAAATTAGTCATGTTTTAACCATCTAAAATTGCCCTGCAAATACAGCAGTGCGTTTCTTTCCAACTCTCTAGCAATCCCTCATATTAAGTTTCTTTTTTACTTTTAGCCCATTTACTGCAAGTAATACCATACGTATAGTCCAGGAAAAATACTCTTCTCCTCACAATTATTGGTTTTAAAAATATATCTTTAATACTTAAATGTTTGAGATAAATTTGAGTGTTCTTGTGGGTAATAAAGTGTTCCTGTCTAATTTTGCTATCCATCGATTTACGATTGGACAATGTACTGTATACAAATACTAAGATGTACAAGTAAATCGCTGGATAGTAAGATCAGAAGCGTTTTATACAAACAAAAACATTTAAATCTAAAGCTGAAGATACAACTATTACTTGTGAGGATAAGAATATATTTGCCGGACACATGGTTACACAGTAAAGTTATAACTTGTAACCACCCACTAAACAGCCTAGATTATACATGACATTGTATTGATGTAAAATAACCAACACATTTCTAAATCAACTCAGACCTACGCGGCCATTTTGTAGAAGAAATCTCATGTAAACACGTAAAATATCCAAGTTCCGAAAACGTCCTGCTAGTTGGCATTTTTTGGTTGACCAAATTAATATGTCATGGCAAATGAGTATAGTGGTGCGGTGATGCACAGGAACTCTGGCGACACCCACAACAGAAAGGTTCAGATTTCACTGCCACTATACCGCTACCTCTCTAGATGCATTTGACTGGTTAATCAGATAGATTAAATGGTAACGGCAGTCAGAATCTGAAAACTGAGATGGATACGGATTCAACTACCTGTATTAAATTACAAGTGAACCTTCGACGTATCGAGCGAAGGCACTTTGTAACTTCCCAACGAAGGGTCTTTGCAGGAAACGTCGAAGTTTTACTTGTAAATTTTTCAGATAGTCGAATCTCTGTCCATCTCAATTTTCTGGTGTTTTTAGTACCACCTACGCTGGATTGTTCGAATCAAAATATGAACCAGTCAAAATCTGAACCTCTCTAAATTATTACCAACTACCATAAAAATTTGACGTTTAGCCTTCTTCAAGAAGTCATCTTTTGTTCATTCATAGAAATCACAGTATCACTCGCGATCATTCCTAGAAATTTCTTCACTGGAGGGAGCTAATTTTCTGTCGTACTGCGTACAGCAATGCTGCGTAAACACAGCAATTTAGCACCACGAGAAAAACGGCCTCTTTTCGTGAAAACTTTGCGTGTAGGTTTCGTTCGGTGAACGATGTATTCTCCCGTCCAGTTTTTTCTTCTGAACAAGGACTGGCGGGAGTTGAACAAGTTCAAGTGGCGACTTCTGTTGACGTAGTGCTTCGGTGAGGTTGAGAATCTGAAATAGGACAGACATTATTTTCTGTGGTGGACTTGGGATCGTCTGTCAGAATGTGTGTAGCACTCCTTCGTCACCACTACTAAGAGGTGGGCGTCAGTAAGGAGTGACCAAGTCATGTTCGACGATGTGAAATAGTCTTGACCTATCTTGTCTGTTGCATGTTCTGTATGTAAATGCCGCCATATTCAAATCAATATAATTTGTTTGCTCCAATAAGTAGTTTCAACTCATTTCTAAACCATTATCTGCTGCAGTGGCGCCGTGGCCGGGGGGGGGGCAGGGCATGCCCCCCCTATTGTTGAGACCCGTCGGAAAATTGTCAATGTTGTCGGAAATTGTCAAGGTTGTCGAGGGGGGCGGGGGTGAAGATTTAAAATGTTGTCGTCCGGAAAATTTTTTGGTTTGTCGGAAAAATTTTTCGGTTTGTCGAATA